GCGGCTTCCTGCTCGATGGGCCTGGGTCGCCGTCTCACGTCAGAGCGAGGCCGGTCGGGGTCGTCGTCCTGCCCCGCGGGTGTCCGCCCCCGGGGCTTCTCCCAGTGATGTGTCCCCGTCCCACAGAAGGCTGCGCCCGTGAAGCTGCACTGGCGGCCAGGTCCCACAGAGGTGGGTTTTAATTAGACGCCGGCATAACTTGTCGGCTTCCTTAGTTCCACTTAGCTGTCTTATCTGATGATACGGGGTAGTGACGGTCACAATGCTGGACTAGAAAACCGGTAGCCAGAACGGCGTGCAGACCTAGCTCGGAGCCATGAGTGGCGGTGCTGGGAATCAGGAAGGATTATCGCTCAGGCACGTCAGAGCCGGAAGAAGTTCCTGCCTGATGCGCCCTGACGTATGAATGCAACTGCATATGTTGTGCTAATGCCGTTATGCTGACCCAGCTTTGCACCGCAATCCGATAAACAAATTACAGCAGCTACTGAACTTGGAGATAAAGAGTAAATAATGAACAGCGAAACGCATTCTGATGACTGGTATGCTAGTCGACTTTGTATTACCTTGGAACAGGGGCAAACAAATTCCGCGTTAAAGGTAAATGAAGTTAATGAAGACATAATTAGCGCTCAATATATTTAATTTGATTATCTGCATTGCGCTAAGCCGTGACGTATTTTTTTAGTGTGTGCGTGTGTGCTGAGTCCTGGACTAGCACGTCGTCTGGCCGGCTTAGTCCCGAACTGAGTTGTCAGCTGGTCGGCTTAGTGCAGAATTTATGTATATATCGGCTGAGCTCCGGACTGGGTCGGACGAGGATGGATCCAGCTGTCCGGACTGGGCCTCGGTTCTAGATTCGGACAATGTCGGACACAGTTCTTGACTGGGTCGGAGGAGGATGGCTCCAGCTCTGCAGACTCGGGAGTGACACAGCTCTCTGGACTGGAAGTGACACAGCTCTGGACTGGGTGTGACTCTCCTCCTGACTACGTCAGACCCAATTCTTGACTGAATCAGACACAGCTCCGGACTAGGTGGGACACAGCTGCAGACTGGATCGGCACTCGGCTACAGCTGCGGACTGGGTCGGATGAGGCTCCTCACTGGGTCGGACCATGCAGCTCCCACAGCCACGCCCCGTTAGCTCTCGCCTGTGGGACTCTGGACAGTATACCGCTGCTCAGAGCGGCACTGGGGAGCTTCTCTCCATCATGTTACAACTGACAGTCCGCCTCGTCCCACCTTCGGTCTATAGACTCGCGTCTCTGTCTAATCTGATCTGAACTATCAGCTGTTCTATGCTTCCATTCTTCTCGGGTTTCTGCAGCTGTCTTCGCACGTTGCACGTTAAATGTGTTGTACGTACGAGTATACAATTCCCTTACCTTTTGTTCTATTTCTTTGCACTTAGTTCGGTATACCGCGTATTATAATTCTTCTCTCATTTTCTCCTTCCTTCTCTCTCTCTCTCTCTCTCTCTCTCTCTCTCTCTCTCTCTCTCTCTCTCTCTCTCTCTCTCTCTCTCTCTCTCTCTCTCTCTCTCTCTCTCTCTCTCTCTCTCTCTCTCTCTCTCTCTCTCTCTCTCTCTCTCTCTCTCTCTCTCTCTCTCTCTTTCTCTCTCTCTCTCCCTCTCTCTCTATCTCTCTCTCTCTCTCTCTCTCTCTCTCTCTCTCTCTCTCTCTCTCTCTCTCTCTCTCTCTCTCTCTCTCTCTCTCTCTCTCTCTCTCTCGCTCTCTCTCTCTCTCTCTCGTCACGTAACAACCGCCCAGTGTGCTCCTCTGCTGTTCTGTGGTATAGGATTAGACATGCACCAGTTCCAGCACACGGCTTGATCATTCATCCGAGCAGTGACTCAATGTGCTCGCTCTGTCGCGCTTTGATGTGCCTCACGACTCTGACATACCTACCTCAAAATAAAGGAGATGTTTAGTTATATATTTAAAGACATCGATCGTATGATCAATTGTTCAAGGTCAGAGGTATCATAGTTTAGTTAGAGGGATTTTATTGGGCTGGCTCCAATTTGATGGATAAAAAACAACAGACAGCTTGCTTGTAACAAAGATCGGGTTTCAAGGGTTTCTTTATTAACATATTTTTACAGAGCCTATTTAATCAATATGCATCGCTATACATATTTCATTCTGTACATCCGCCTGTAAAAAATATTCAAACATTTTTGCGAGTAGGTATACTCATATTTATAAGCACTTTACCATCTCGATAAGGTTCTGCCCCTGTTGGTATGAGTCATTGGCTGCGTAGAGCTGGAGTTCGAGGGTCACTGCACTCGCCGACCGATTTGGCAGCGTAATTGGTATCATACCGTTACCAACATTCGGGTTTCCAGTTCACTAGCCACTTGTTCAGTGGGCTGGCCCTACCAGTTCGATATAATAACACATGGCTTTGTAAGGAATCCCTACAAGTTCTTAGGTTTGAGTAATGTTGCTCTGTAACAACATACTTTTAAATTTGGCGCGATCGACATTTGAAAGATGAGGGATAAAACCGATGTTATAGCACTGTAAGCTCGGATAAGCCTAAGGTTACATGACAAGGCAGGTGGCAATCTCAGGCTGGCCACCCGTCAAGAGCTGGAGGTCAGGCGTCCGTCATTACCGGCAATAAGACAGCTAGAAGACTCATCCATCGTTAGACGTTTAGCGTAAGTGAGACCATGTTAACCCTCGCCCCGTTGGGGGCCATTTTGCCCCCCCCCCCCCCTGTGGTTTTCCTGAATAGCAAGAAAACGGCGGCGCGCAGCGCCGCCAAATTTTCAGTACCTTCCCGGGCATCAATTCGACACCTTCACTCTAAATTTCAAGTCTTAGCTCACCTTAGGTCAGGAGTTATTGAGGTCAAACTGAGGTCATGTTCGAGCAAAAATGAGCAAAAAACATGCAATCTTGAAACGCTAACCAAATCTACAGTTATCAAGCAATTTCAAAGTTCTTTATATGGTCTAGTAGACAAAAAGCGGTGCTACAAAACTGCTATCTGGGATTTTCAAAATTTTGGGTTTTTGACCCAAAAAAATTCAAAAAAAATTGATTTTTTTTAGAAAAACTAAAAAATCCAAAAGTATTCCGAATTTCGAAAAAACGGTATATATCTGATAGTCCCTGCGCTCTTCTATATACATACCAAATTTCAGATCGATATCTCATTTTTTGGCCAAGTTATAGCGAAAAAACTGTTCAAAAATGATGACGTCAAATTTTTGAACTCAATTTTTAGCGATTCTAGACCACGTACGGTAAAACAAAGACCACTATTGAACTCCCCGTGACGAGCCGCATCGATTCGATACCCATTTTATGCAAAAATATTAACCTTGAAATTTGACCTAATTTGACCTGACCTTGACCTGACCTTGACCTGACCTTGACCAAAACGTGACCTAAGCTGGCCCCAAAGGCTGCTTGACCCACATAATCGCATTTGTCATGTAAAATGGACCATAAAACATGTATCACACGACACTTTCATATTTTGACCCCCCCCCCCCGTGGCCTGACCTCTGTGACCTGACCTGGTATCAGTGACCTCAAATAGCAAAATATGTGTTTGAAGAACATTTCCCCATCGATGATTTTCAATGAAATGCATTTTACTCGATTTTACAACGCATTTCTTGAAATGCCTGTAAACGGTGAAAATTGGACCTTTGACCTGACCTGTGGCGTCATCGGTTTGACTTAGGTCAATAAAATTGGGTCACAAGGTAGTTCCTTGATAGGGCTATCCAAAACCGTTTGCCGCTTGTCGCTAGGTTGCGTGGTTCTCGAGATCTTAGGGGGGCCAAAATGCCCCCCCCCCCAACCGGGCGCGTTGCTCGGCAGAGCCCAACGGGGCGCGGGTTAAACGTTGGTCATATCTACAAGTGCATAGCGTAATCAGTAGCCCGGTTTCCATGGGCATCTGTGATCCGGATAAGCAAAAGTGGATTAGCTAATCCTTTATAGTTAGCCAATAATTGAAAATTAGAATAAGGGATTAACTGATTATATAAGCCTAATCCACTCTGAATTATAACCCGTAACAAAGAGTTCGAGAAATATTATACGATTTAAATTTACTGATCCGGATCACGAGTGCCCATGGAAACGTGGTCAGTATCCCACCTGAGTATTTCTGACATAAACATCATTCATGCTACAGATTGAAAGGGATTTCTGTGTCAGGAGCAAATGGCAAGGGAGTAGGCAAACAGCTCAAACGTCGGCTTCTCGTTTTAGTCGAAATTAGAAGGTTCTGTCGACATCTCCTTTTTAAACAACGTTTTTTATCTAAATCAATTCTATTCGATCAATGCAAACATTGATGCGTGGGATTCCGCACAAATTGCAGATGATAAAGATAAAGAACGGAAAAGGTTACCATTGCCAAGCTCAACTTGAAAATGCTTGCATGTGCGCCTCTCACCATTTCTTCCCTTTCTCTTTTCATTTTCCCTATTTGCTTGATATCATTTGGTGGAGACATCATGGAATGCCCGGAGAAATTGAGGGGACGTCGTTCACAATTTGCCGGTCAGCGGCCGAGAATTCATATAACTTCACTATCAGAAGCAATGTTTTGGATTATTGCATGTTGATGACATCAACCAAACACCAGTTATGACGTTCATTGCCCGTCAAAATTCATCTTGAGAACAGAAAACTGTTTTACGACGAAGTTACAGAATCGGTAACGACCATCACCGAAATCGCATGGCCAGCCGTCGCGTTCCAAGACAGCCATTCCAGCACCACTGAGAACCATCGCTATACTTTCGGAGGACAAAGAAGTTGCAGATGTTGCAAACACGAAAAAAGCCGTCACCGACCAGTCCGTCTCCGTGTTGACCCAGAACATTGACCCGTGGCCCCCCGGTGCCGTGACAGATCGGCCGCCCGCCCGCCGCCCGCGCCGGTCGAGTTCGTTTACGTCGTCGCGCCGACGGCACCTGTCGCGCCGACCGGTCACACGGTGTACTGCCGGACTGGCGGCGTCGCGTCGGCAGTCGGCGGCGGCGACCCGGGCCGTGAAGAGCTCTGGAGCGGCGCTCCCGACGGTGGTAGCGGCGGCCAGCACAGTCTCGGCACCGGCTCGGCTCGCGGCACCTCCAGCGACCGCCCCGGGCAGACGGACACCTGAGCTGAACTCGGCTGACCTGTGACCGGCGCGCCGGGATACAGGTGAGTTGGTGGAGCAGCGCCGGCGTCTGGTCGGAGGCTGTGGACATTGAATAGGATACTTCAGGAATGGAGATATTGTGGGTTATTGGGAATTTGGACCCCGTAAGCGTTAAAGGGACCATCCCACCTTCAAAAAAGTTAATGAATTGGCATGAAAGTGATGTCGCTCGGTTCAGAAAGAGCAAAAACGAATATCTACCAAATTTCATCGAAAAATATTCACCGGTTTTCAAGATATTAGACTTTTACTTTTGTTTACTTTTTGGGATCTCCGCTGTTCCTAGCGACTTTATTTGAAAGTGCGGCATTTGTTGCGCGCAAAGCAGCATATACCACCGCGTGCTACAGAACGTTTTAGTCAAACATTTAACGGACGTTCGAAAACCTGATGACGTCATCAGATTCCCGTAATGGTTAAGAGATAGGGACCACGCTGGTCCCACCCTGCAAGTAAAGGGAAGAAATTTCTTGAACACCATAAAGCTGCGGGGGTTGCGACCAGGATAAATGGTGGTTTCTGAGCCTGGCCGCAAACTTGGCTATCTCAACTCAAAACTAATGTTAAGGTGGGAGGGTCCCTTTAACCCACTGCAGCAACTAAAATGCAGGTAATTAATAACTTTCTTGCGCCCTCTCCGACCGGCACGATATTCTTTTAAACTAGCATGGGCCCTCAGCGACAAGTGTGGGCCGTCTGAGAACGACAAGTGAGCTCGCACGGGAACGGCTCCTCGAGATCGGTTTGAGGCCCTATCAGGGAAATGAAGAGCTGTGAGCACTACGAATTGCGGGACCTCTGCAATCCGAATCCCGTTTGTTTGTAATGCAGAACGATAGATAGTCTTCGGATACATGCACCAGTTATGTTGGACGGTATGCGCTGCATTTTTCATTTATTCCTCAAATTCATATGTAACTACCTATCAATGTAATGATAATGCTCATGAAATCGTTGGCGGGAACGTCATACGATTGACTTGTTATTTGATTATCGATATCGATATGAGATCTCTCAACTGTTTCAATGCGTTCAATCCATGCAAGTAAAAGAAAAAAAAGCATTGCAGTCGCGGACTTTTACAGTGTCCTATAAGAATTTGTTTTGCATAGTTAGATTCTTACTAACAAGCTCCAGAATTTGTTCAAAATAATCAGATGCTGACGAAGCATTATCATTACATCCTTCCTAGGTAAAATTATGTTTTTCTGCTTCTTCCTTCAGGCTACAGAGAGGAACAAGGAGAAAATTCAGTGCAGTGAACAAGGATAATCTATGAAACCAACGTGTTTTTTTGTAACAACTACATCCGTGTACCCAAAAGGAAAAGAGGGGAAACATTAGCCTGATGGTCTTAGAAGGCTGTCTATGAAGTCTAACCGACGTTAAGTAATATAATCATTACATATTTTTACGTCCAATTTAGGCGGCAATGCACAGTAAAAGTGCAGACGAATTCGACAGTAAGTACGGCATATGTCGAAGTCAAAATCGGTTGCACTTTTACTGAGCTGTGTGCACTAACTATGTCTATATTTGGCCGTACAAATGTGTATTTAGTCTGTCATCTTCAAAGCTAGCTCCATCTTTGTCAAATTTTAGCTATGTAAGCAAATTCTGCTGTATAAGGCTGTTTCACATAAGCGCGACGTCAGCCACCAAATCTACCATTTTCTGCCAATACTATTTTAAGTGTCAAGTACTGCGCAAATTAAGAACAAAGCTGCTAAAAACTTGCGCGTTTAACAGCGTCACGTAATTACATACCCAGCTTTGCCCTTTAAACTGAGGGCAAAATAGCGTAGAAAGCGCGAATATTCTTATCAAAGAAATGTTGTTAAGATTGAAGTTCTAGACAGGATAGATATACCCAAGCACGAAAAGAAGGAAAAAGTTAAATTTGAGTGTAAAAATCATAAATCTTTGAAAGAAACAAAGTTCAAATACTTTCAGCAAATAACATTAATGTTCGACAGTGATTACGAAACGGATCATCAAACGGTAACGCAGCCAAATCACCATCGAAATTCTGCGTTCATCGCCTCCATGGTGTGGGCAATTTCAGGATTAAGACCGTTACCCAAACGTGTAAGGTATGATTTTGGTTTGAGCTGATCCACCGTTACTTGACTGGTGGCCAAACACATTTGGCTCCTGAAACACTCCAGTTATTCCCCCCCCATCCTCCCCTCCTCCCCTTGGCGGTGAGTCAGGTCTGCGAGGATCCCGTGGCGGCGCGGCGGGGGCGGCGGCGGGGGCGGGGGCGGTGACCGACCTCGGCGTCACGGCCGCCGCCCCGCGCGTCACCCCTGACCCACTAGTCGGCGCGGCTGATCCGGCTCGTCTTACCGCCCGACGGCGCGCGACGCTGCACACTCAGAGCGGAGTCTCCGCCGGCGCGACGGGCGGCTCTCCGACTATCAGGCTGGAACCACCGCTCACTTCCGGCGTCTGTGGTCGGTCTGTGGGGAGCAGGAGCGCCGACTGCAGCACGCTGACGGAATACGCAGCCGCCCCCGGCGCGCCGGCTCCAGTTATAGCGCGACAGCCACCGTGACGGCGCCAAAGGCACCTAGCTGGGCACTTCCGGTCAGCGAGACATCGCTAAATTGCCGTCTCACAGGCTGCACTGCCATGTGAGTCTATTTAATTACCCATCGCGGCCGCAATTATGTATATCAGCGGGGAGTAAGTTCTGGGACGCGCTAGAATCAGGCGGTGAGAGCGCATTGTTATACCTATACTATGACTTTTGAGCCCTAAAATATCATGCCATGATTTAGGAAAAGGTCAATGTTTCCCCTACATCGGCCAGTTCATGAAGCAGAGAGCAGTGAAGTCAAAGTTGCTTAGTACACACCTTAATAGCTTGAGCGGGAGGCGAACAAACGTATTCCAGCTTCGCCGTTCGATAAACCCATAGTTCGGGCCTGGTTTTCCACGGATTCGGTTCGTTTTTCATAGCGCTGCCTGCGCTGTCCCACCGCCGATTATGTCTCTAGCAGATGACCTGAGAAGCTTTACGGATGACCAGTGGAGCCAGAAATGTCATGTCACACGCCACAGCACACGTGCCGCAAAACATTCGGAAACAAGACAAAAGAGCGGCGTCACAAAAAGACACAGTCAATACAGCTGCCGGTGAGCCAAGTCATGCGGCGCCCGACCGCCTCACGAGGGTCCCAGTGCCTGCTGTGCTGACCTGACTTACCCCCACGACTGCCACGGGGCGGTCAGAGACCCGGTCTGCACATCCTGGGAGCGCCATGCGGTCCGGCCCCGGTGCAGAGTCACCAGACGGATATTCCCCGTGACATCAGCTGATCCCCGATAGAGCGTATCATACAGTCAAATGAGGTGACCGTATTGGAGGCGGTTGGAATATGTCAAATGGCACTGGTGAAGTGGTCTTTGATTTCTGGACACCTCCACATTGGTTCTTAGATCAGAGACTGCTATACTGCGGCCCATTAAAGGGACTATCCCACCTTTAACATGGGGTTTGAGTTGAGATAGCCAAGTTTGCGGCGAGGTTCAGAAACCACTATCTATCTAGGTTGCAACCCCCGCGGCCTCTTGGTGTTGAAGAAATTCGTTCCCTTCATTTGAAAATGGACCTTGTACAAGGCCCTATCTTCAACATGGAGCGACCGTTAGTGTGACGTCACCTCGTTTAGTCATTCTGATTTAAATGGGTTTGTTCGTTGAAAAATCGCTTAAAACTTGGTCTAAACTTTGTTGTGGTGCCTACAGAGTAAAAAGAATTAGCTTTATGACAGTAATGTGGCCTGGGGAAGGAGGTAATTTTGGGCTGTGACGTCACATATTTGAAAGTTTGTGTTTGGAATATGGGAAGCCTAAGATGTTTAATGAAAAATAAATGCCAGAACCGTGTTCCTGGTCATCCAATCTATAAAGTCGGGCACAATTGAACTGGTTTTAACAACATTTTAGAAGGTGGGATAGTCCCTTTAACCGTCATGAGGTAAATGAGGGAGAGCAAAATAGATATGGTATGAACATGGAGGGCGTAATAACAAATTACAGCTTTTCGTCATAGGTTTCGCATGGCTATCAGTATTCTCGAGCTCCTGTTGCGTTCATTATGTCGGCAAGCCACGGACAGTGAACTTTGTTCGCTGTTCCAAGATAGGTGTGCCGTATAATACCAATCATAGATGTGCTGTATACCAATCCAACTATCAGCCATCTCGGATTCCCACCTCGCCTCAGGAATGGAGTGGCTACCGTCGCGGGGCGATCGGTCACGGCTCAGACGCCCGGTGCCGTGGAACGGCTCAATTTCGTCACATTCGCGCCGGCCGCCCCGACAGTAATTGTGTGCCCTCTGGGAACTGCTGGTCGGTAATTGGTGCGTGGCGCCCTGTGACCGCGGGTCGGTCGGCGGGACCGGCGGTCAGGGTGGGAGGGGACGCGCCACCCCGCCCCGCCCCCGCCCCCGCCCCGTCCCGTTAGGTGGGTCTCGGTGGGTCGAACCCGGCCGTCTGTACCGTGACCGTCCCCGCACAGACTCGGCAATTATTTCGGTACTATCCAGAGACAATGTCACCTGCAACTGTCCGCCCTAATGCGGCTTTATTTACTTCCATTACGGGACAATTTCGCCAGGTGAGGGCTGTTGTTATTCTCTTGGAGCGTCACGGGTCGTTGGCAGAGCGCCTAGGAGTGGAGTGAAGAGGGCGGCCAGTGGAAAAGCGATATTCACGGGCAATAGAAGAAACACTAGAAATCCCGGCTCCCTTGGTGTAAACATAAAGCATATATCTGGAATTGTCAAGTTATTCTTATCTTTCCTCTATCGAGGGTCATTTTCATGAGAAAATTTAATATCTAAAGTTTGCCCACATGCATAAGCATAAAAAAGAAGGGTTTCTTGCCAAACATGCAAACGCACTCATTAAGCTTACAGGGTGGAAAGAAAAATATGTTTTGATTTTAACAGCCCGTGACATCAAAGCGAGTAGTAATAGCTCAAAATGAATTAGTGCATTTGAATCACCTTTTCTGGAAGTTTTATACCTGGTGTCATTCACACTCTTTCTCGCTCCTGGGCGTCCCCCATAGCGCGTGTTCTGAGTAACCCCTTTTTCGCAGAATTTAGAGATATGTGTACCGCGCAACCTCGCGAGATGAATTCAGCGCACAAATCGGTTGGATTCTACGTGCGACCTTCCAAATCGTCTTCATCACGTTCGGGAGACTCTCTGGGCTCATGGCTGGCACCTGTGATTTCATTAAACCCCACAGATAAAAACCAGGGGCGTCGGGCCTGAGAAGAGGGCTGGCCATGAAATTTCGGCTTTTTTGACTGGTCACGTGCCCTCTAAAGTGTTCCTCCAGCCAGGAGAGCCTCGCTCTTTATGTGCTAGATGGAGCCCCGTCTTTTTTGGAAACAGTGTACTCAGTTACACCCTCCAGAGCTGTCACTATCTAACGCCCGAGCCTTCTCAGCACCCGAGCGTAGCGTTCCTTGTTGACGGTGACCGTGGTGCCTTTCGGTGTTTCGAGGGAAAACGGTCCGATGAGACAGGCGGTGGACATAACACATCATTACGTCAATGTGAGACTGTGCAGAGGGCTCTATAACGTTGTGCCCAGAGGGAATGAAGCCCAAACTTGACAGTTCTGGGTTGATTTTACCGCTCATTCGGACCGTTTCCCTCGAAACATCGAAAGGCACCACGGCCACCGTCAATAAGGAACGCTACGCTCGGGTGCTGGAGAGGCTCTAGCGTTAAATAGTGGCAGCCCTGAAGGTTTTAACTGAGTAAATTGTTTCCAAAAAAAGACGGGGCTCCACCTAGCACGTAAAGAGCGGGCCTCTCCTGGCCGGAGGAACACTTTAGAGGGCACGTGACCAGTCAAAAAAGCCGAAATTTCATGGCCAGCCCTCTTCTCAGGCCCGACGCCCCTGGTTTTTATCTGTGGGGTTTAATGAAATCACAGGTGCCAGCCATGAGCCCAGCGAGTCTCCCGAACGTGATGAAGACGATTTGGAAGGTCGTACGTAGAATCCACCCGATTTGTGCGCTGAATTCATCTCGGAGGTTGCGCGGTACACATATCTCTAAATTCTGCGAAAAAGAGGTTACTCAGAACACGTGCTGTGGGGGACGCCCAGGAGCGAGAAAGAGTGTGAATGACACCAGGTATAAAACTTCCAGAAAAGGTGATTCAAATGCACTAATTCATTTTGAGATATTACTACTCGATTTGATGTCACGGGCTGTTAAAATCAGAACATATTTTTCTTTCCACCCTACATCCAATGCATTTTGCTGGAAACTCCACTTCTCAAATGCAACATCGTCGTGATTTTTCAGAGCACTGCCGTTGCCCAAAATGTACATATCTTTTTCTGCAACTTGATATGCAACATGTTTTATGTTGTAGGAACATATTTATTCTTTTGAAGCCTCAGAGCCTTAGCACATATGCTGCCAGTGCTACCAAAAACACAACGTTGAGCAGAACTGGATTCCATTCATAGATAGCTTAGTGACTCGCCGTTGTAATCTTATAGCTCTACGATAATTGACAGGTTACACCTCAAATCCGACGTTAACAACGCACTTTTTGATGTGTATCCGTCAAATCCTCCAGCAACACCATATAAGCTTGCATGAGCTTACCGAACACGGTCCGGAGGCACCTCATGTGGCCCGATATCCGAACTTCAATTTAGATAAGCGACTGTTGGCCATCCTATCTTGTTGAGGCTCATTTATGGCCTCCCGTAGGCTGTACCAGAGGCAAACTTTCGCATTTATGAGTGCCTGTAGCAAGCAAGCTGCCTCCTAAGGCGTCTTGCTCGCTGCATAGTTCACTAACCTCAGCGACCTTAGCACCAGAGGTAGCTCAGGACTAACCAAGCAGCCCTGAACTTGCCCCGACCGGTCTCTGGTCTGGCCAGGCGCCTGCCTCGGGAGCGATGTCGGCCGATATGCGCGGACGCCGGTGCTGCCCTTGCAGGCTCAGTGGCGGTGCCGACTGCACAGTGTAGCCACCAGTACCCGTGACTATCAGCGAGCGTTGGATGGTGCCTCTGAGCATAAGAATCATCATCTATCCAGTATCTCCCGGCGGTATACAGTGACGGCTCCCACTGAACCGTCGGCGACTGCGGCGGTCAGTCCAGGTCACCGGTCGCCGCGTGCTGCCGGGTCCTCGGGGCGGCACAGCTGTACTGCCGGGTCCTCGACTGCACCGCTGCCTGAGCAGTGAACCGGAAAGGTGGCGCCGACCGGCTAACGGGCGCCCGGCCGGCCGCGCTCCTCTCCGGGCCACCGTCTGGCGTTCAGAGACACCACCTGGCACCGCCTGACGTCAGACGTTTGCCGATTTATTCAACGGCACAGCTATAAAGAGGCCACCGGCTCTGCCTTCGGTCAGAGACAGCCGTCAGCTACCGCCAATCGAGAGCGATATGGAATGCCTCGTGCTTCTTCGTGCAGCCCGATTGCGTTTGGGTACCTAGCCTAAGAAACATTCACACAGTGCCCATTTAAGTCTTGATGGAAGAGAATTAAACCTTGTATCCTCTTACATAATGTTACGGTGAGACTGGAACAAGAAGCCATTGCCATGGGCTTATTGCACAAACGTCCCACGCCTAGGGACGCTGGATCCCGGCGTTCCGCCTTGTTTTCTGCCAAAACGACTCATGACTAAGAGCGGGCGTCGTAAAATTTTGTTTTGCAGTCAAAGAGCGTGTGAAGAAGTGAATATAAATCGTGAGACATGATGCACTGCACTGGATATAAAGCTTGCAAAACAATAGGGAATGGGTTTTGTTTAAAAAATCAGAGTCCTGCCACTGCTATATTCCATGTCTTGCGCAGAAAAGTATTTCATATAATAAATTGCAGGTAATTTTGTCGCGATGACCATGACTCGGAAGCACTTTTTGCACGGTCGTCAGTGGAAGTTCCGCGTTCACAGCAGTCCGGTCCGTGACCTCTGGAGGGCCAGATGGCTGACGAGGCCTGCAACATGGCGCGGTCATCATCGTCGTCATCAGCAGCGCCAGCAGCGGCGGCGGCAGCGGCGGCAGCACGACCGTTGTAGGGACGTGCTCCTTGGGGCCACGGTACGGGACGTGCTCCTTGGGGCCGCCGCGGTACGGGACGTGCTCCGTTTACCCCGGCAGCCGGCGGCGGCAGATGTCTGACGCGCGGCTGCAGCTGACGCGGGCCGGCGCGTCCCTGTTCCGAGGCCGCCGCCGGCTCTCTGGGTCAGCGCCAGATGAGCTGGCAAGGCCGGTCGGCACCTCAGCGGCCGTAATCTGCCGCCGGAACCGGCCCCGGTGGGTGGTGGGGCGCCGCGTGCTCCCCCGGCCGCCACACCGGCCTCCATGACCGGAGTTGGCCGACACGGTCAGTAGCGAGTCGCCAGTCATGGGTCATCGGCCCTCTGCTTTTGGGCAGCTCAGGGTGGCCAGCTCTGCTCCGAGTGCCAAGAGAGAGCTGGGTCTGAGGGGTAGGGTTGTGGCATTATTTGTCAAGAGGTCACGTATTAAGGTCATGACGTGACATGCGATGCTTTGTGGTTTTTGAACTTGCCTTATTTGGCACATATGTTTGTGCATAATTCATATTTGTCAATAAGTCGATGTTACATTGGCTTAGTTACCAAGTATAGCAGTTCTTTTACGGCAGACTGAAAACAAGGCTCATGTTTTCTAATCATTATTTCGCTGATATGCATACTAGAAAAACCTGTAGCATCCAATTACATGAAATAGCTAGAATGTCATCGCATTGCATTAAGTCAACAAGCTTGTTGGCTTGAAAACCTACATTTAGAGTGAATACAGAGTAGTCACCAAACAGTGCTGTTTGGCACCGTTATTTAAATCACAAACATTTGCCAATGGAGCCGGTTCTGGTATCCCGTTAGGTAACAAACACCCATGCAGCAATGCCAAAATGGTTTCAAGGCTCACAACCCATTTATTCTCAGAGCTACCCCTGACACCAGTTACCGTTTTGTGCATGATGCGAAGCAAAAGCGCTTTAAAAAAGCAACGGAAGCGCCCATTTGCTATCTTCTCTGAAGCGTGCAACGCTGTCCTCCTGGGTGTCATCAATCATTTCTGAGTGCGGGGCTCTGTACAGCCGGCCGGTCCGGCGCCCCCGGTCATATCAGTCCTCCAGCACTGTCCAGATATCATCGAAGCTCGCCCGGCGCGGCAACTAATGGCCGGCATTAGGTCCACTAATCGCCGCCGTTGTGGAAGGGTTCGTACTTAGCCGCTGGCCGCCCGAGGGGCGCCATTGAACGCACATTAAGTAACGGACCGTTCAACGCAAGTGCGGCTATTACCCTCCCTGGCACAAGCCGAGTCGGGTGGCCATTGAAGTCTGGTCTAGCACTTCTTGTTGGGTACAGCGTGGGTCAGTGATATCGAACAGGAGCTTTGAATGCCGACCGCCGACCTTTGACGCCCTTGTTGACCTATCAAGTCACTGGTGACATGTCACCGGTCACTGGGTTTATGGAAATGAGCTGGAGCCTGGTGACCTATGAACGGCGAACGGTACATGGCTATGGGTACTACCTGATGCTCGGATTTGGTGCTTGGTCATTGGTAACAATGCAGATTGCTGATGACTCAAAAGCACTGGTGGTCCACTGCCGTTTAGTGACCAGCGACTGGTTACGGTTCGTGCCATGAACTATCGGTGAGCGTGAGAAGATAACGCCATACGGGACTGCCCATTTCCGGCCAAACCCTCTGACGTATTTGATCTCTGATTACTGACGGTGACTGGACGCCGCATGCCGGTCCCAGCTCCCACACCCGCGCTGTTTGCAGGCGCCTCACAATCTGTGCACCCTGTGCAGGAAAGCACCTCTGAACTTGGACTTGAAACTGTGGACGCGTTGCGTCACTCCTGTCAACGACCTTTGATGTCCTAAACTGAATTTCTGCAAACCCAAGGAATGGATGATAGTCATCAATAACGGCTAGTTCCTGCCCAGGTCCGGGCGATTTCCATATCATCGACAATGCATGATCGGTTTCCATGCAGAGTATACCTGAGCCTGAACCGATCCGTATGATCGGTTAGTGCAGGGAGTCGTGACGGTCAACATGCGAATCAGTACGGCTTACTGGAGGTATGAGGCAGCTGTACACGGCTGTGGATCTCAGCAACTTCTCACGACCAGGGACTTTAGCAGCTGCTCGGGTATTTTTCAGACCATTGTTTCTGCCTGTCATCCGTTTGTGTCGAGCACTGTTCGTTCGGCGGTCAGTGGCCGGAACGGAGCGAGTCTCCGCCGGATCGTGTCGGCCGTTCGTCGGTCCGCTCCCACCGGAACTGGGTGGTTAGCGTCGTCACCACGCGTCTCCCCGCCTCCGCGTGCGCCCTCTCACTGGGTTTCCGTCTTCCTCCCGCCTTTTCGCCGCACTTTATTATGTCTGGTTGTTCGATAGAAGTAATTAATTATCAAACTGTCTTGATATCTAAGCCGTGATAAAGAGTGTGATCCTGGCTGGATATCACGGGTAATCTAAACTATTTATCATTCTGTATATCATGCTCAGGAGACTATAATAGAGCCTCTGGAATTAGCGTCACTTTTGTCTGTGACATAAGAGCCCATTCATTCCACCGTGAGACATGATTGCAACACATGGTGCTCCATTTGACTACACCACTGTGACGAAGCCAAGTAAGCCGCGATGCTCCACATTACTCTGCATTGATCGAGGGCAAATCCTCATGCGTGGAATAGAATCATCGCTGTTCTTAACGGCCCCTGAATGCGGCCAGTCCGAAATTAATACCTTCGCTATGTTCGCCATTCTAGAACCATGTCACGGATGTGCGGTGTAGGAGTTGTCTCTGATCACCACAGTTCGTCCGCCCGGCAAATCCAAAGGTCTCAAGAAAAAAGTGAGTATTCCGAACTTACAAAGTCAGACAAAGCACGGTCTTCTGCACCACCTCGGCCACACCACAGAACGCTCAACAACACCTTCCAGTCTCAGCCCTGACTCCCGACTGACTCAGCCTCTTAATCCCGAACAATGGCCGGGCGTGCCCTCCGCCCCCTCCCCTGCGGCGTCAGTTCACCGACCCCATTCCCCTGCGGTGTCAGGTTCACCGTCGGCGGGCGCGTGACGGCCGCCCGTACCCAGGGCAGCGTCCAGCGGCCAGGTCCGGCCAGCCAGCGCTCGCTCCGCTGCACCACTACATTTTACTACACTCCCCCCCGATCCTGATCGCAACCAACAGACGCTAGTGCTCACATCACACGCTAACAACGCTCATACGTAGGTATCTAAGACATCGCTCGGCACGGGGTCTCCGTACAACTGCGTGACAGGCCGAGCCCGCGTACCTCGCCTCGGCCCAGCCTCTGTGTCACTCGCAGCTTCCTCCTGTTGGTCTTGCTGGTCGTCTCGGTCATGCCGGTCGATGGGACACCGTACAAAGCAGGGCTCCTCATCCCCAGAAACTGGTTGCTCTGCCTCTGCGGAAACTGGTTGCTCTGCCTCGTCTGCACGCGGACGCAGATGACGGACATGCCTTGGTACACCGTCAACTTCGACAGTTTGCGGTGACACCACACCAGTCACCACTCCCCTGCCATACTGCTCGTCACAGCGTGCTCTCGGTGATTTCACCCAGACAGCATCTCCGACGTGGTAGCGGCTCTCCTGCTGTCCATCGTCCCTCACTGTCGGAACGGGGTCGACGTCTTTCACTCGGACGTCGTACCGATACACCATACCAGCAGGTGTCGTAGCTTCAGTGACATCGTCCTTCGGCGTTGTATTGTACCTGTATACTGCCTCTGCCACCCCACATTTCGCTCTCGTCGCAATCACCTTTATGGAGCGATGGTTCCTTTCGACGACTCCGTTCCCTGACGGCACATGCGCCGCCCTGTATCGCACTGCGACGTTCCAGTCGTTGGCGAAAGCTCTAAACGCCCTGCTGTGGAAGGTGGTGGCATTGTCCAGCAACATTTCTGCCGGCGGTCCCCGCTCGCAGAATATCGCCGCCAGCTCCGCAATGACGCATGCGGCGGTCTCGTAGCGCAGGAGACGCCAGATCGCAAACCTGGATGGGCCGCAATCCACCACTGTTAGGTACAGACACCCATGATGGTGAGTCACGTCGACGGCGACTCTGTCCCACGTGGTGTCGACCTCCAGGCGGCCTTCGCGCCACTTTTCAGGAGCGGGATCAACAGACTTGCACGTCTGACAGGCCGACACCACGGCCTGCGCAAGTCGTCTCGTAGCGAGCTTGTTCGCCCTCCTAGCGAAGTATAGCGTCCTCCGGACACCAGGATGACCAGAAGCGTGGTGAATTTGGGTCACCTCTTTCACCAGCCTGTCGGGGTCGTCTCCGTCTCCCACAGCGCATGCTGCAGCCTCCTCTTTGCACATAAGCACCTGTTGCCAGGCGTCCGGCACTCTCGTCAGTGCGTCCGCTTTGTTCTCAGCCGACGAGACACACTGAACATTCACGTCCAGCTCGTACTCGTCCACGAGCATCCTGAGGGTGCTTAGCCTTCTTCTTATCAACATTTCAGAGGCAGCTTTCGTCTTCAGTCGGGCCCTGCCACTGAGGAGGTCGGTCATCCAGTGGTACACCGTCCGCGAGTCAGTCATCAACCGGACTCTTTCCGCGCCCCACAGGATGGCCATGTTCACGCCTTTCAGGGCCGCGTCTAGCTCTGCCATGTTGATGTGTTGTACTCCATTGTCGGGGCGAAGCCAGCTCCCGTCTTCCACTACTTCGTCACCCACTTCAACAACTACTCCCATGGCCAGAGCACTGGCATCCGTCCACACTGTGATTCTGTCGCCCTTCACATCCCACCGTCCCCTGGCAGGATCCTCTGCTCTGACCCGCTTCATAATTTCGTCCATCAGACGCTCCACGTCCGGGTCGTCAATCTCGTCGTCCCAGCCACTTGCTGCTCTGTTCGCACGTCGTTTGAGGAGCGAGGTCGCCGGCCGCAGCCAGCCGCACACCGGAAGGTGCCCCGTCAGCTGCCCGCAGAGGGAGAACACTTTCCGCTTTGTCACCGGTCCGGCAACTTCTCGGACATCGTTGTCTCTCTTCCACATGAGTGCGCCTTGCTCCCCCCAGACTCGGAGGCCGAGAATCCGAGCGCCTTCCTGTGCGCGAGCGGGGTCCTTACACTCGAGACCGAAGGCTTGAAGGTGCTCGGCCACCTTCTCGGCCGACATTACCTCCTCGTTGACCAGAACGTCATCGACATACGACGATACTGCCTTCTCCACGTTCTTGTCCTGCTTCGCCACTGTCTCCAGAACCGTCTTCATGACTCGGGGTGCCACATTAAGACCATACCCAAGTCTCGTCAGACAGTACCTTTTGTTTTTGAACTCGATTGTCTGATAGGGCCACAGTGACTCCTCCACATGTATCTGAAGGTACGCCTTCTTCAGATCCAGGAGTGCCACTTTCTCACCCGTCCGGCGCCATTCACGAAGTTTCTCACTGCACACGTCAACGTCCGCCGTGAACGTGTCGACGTGAGTGTTCATTTCCCGGAAGTCAAGGACCGGCCGCACTTTCGCCTTGTTCTCTTGAACCACCGCCATTAACGGTATCAGCCCTTTGGGGGCGCCATGCTTTTCTTCGTCGTACTCCAGCAGCCACCCGTTCTCGATCCACGTCTCCAGCTCTCTCTCATAGTCCTCTCTCGCTTCATCCGTCACATGGTACTCGCTCACTCCGTTTTTCAGTTGATCTGGCGGTTTCTTTCCCGACCACTTCCACTCGACAGTCCAGCGCCTTTCCCTCGCATCGAACACGACTCGAAAGTCCTCCTTTTCCACCGCTAGGTCCACGGAGCCTCCTGCTCCGGCGCACACGTCTCCCTCGCCTGCAAATCGCACATCAGTAGAAGAACGCACGGTCACACCCCCAAGAGCTTTCACACCATCCATTCCTAAAATTGCACCGAAACCCAGCGGCTTCACCGCTACAACCAACGCATCAAGCACCACAGCATCACCCCCAGGTACCCCAACATCGGTTTCAGCCGTGCCCGCACAGTCCACTCTCTGACCACTAACTGTCACCATGGACACAGAATGCCTCTTCCACTCGGCGCAGAGCGACGAATGAACCACCGTTCTGGTACATCCCGTGTCGATCAACACCTCACACAACACCCCGTTCACATTCAGGTGTCTCGTTGGTAGTGCGCCGCTCCATCTTAATCCCGAGAGGAGGCCGGCACACGATCCTCCTCTCTCTCCGCGTTTTCCGGACACCGAGCTGCGATGTGACCAGTCTTGTCGCACCGGAAACACCGGATTTCGCGGGGGCCAGTGCGGGCCGAACATTCACGGGCGAGATGCCCCAGGCGGCCGCACGTAAAGCAAGGTCCGCGCTCTCTCCTGCCGCTACTAACGGTTCGGCCGCGATCCCGACCGCCTGGTGGCCTGGTGAGTCTTTGACCAGCGCGGCTGCCACCTCCGATGCGCCGTTCTCCTCTCGCAAGATGGCGCGAGCCCTGTCCACAACCTCCGAGAGCTTTAACGACTCCATGCGCGCTCCAGCTCGCAGTATCTGCCTGGTAGAGTCCGGCAGACCTGCCACAAAGGCACACCCCAGGCCCTCGTCCGACATTCCTCCGAACAGCGTCGCAAGCTGCTGCAGCTCCGCCAAGAAAACATCAACTGTTTCCCCGGGGCGGAGACGGCGGGTGCTGAACTGCTCATACGCAGCGTATTTATCCACCGCAAACGCACGCTTCAGCGCATCCTTGAGCTTCACCACGTCCTTCCTGTCAGCCTCCACCAGCTGCCGGTACACAGCAGATGCTCCTCCTTTCAGCCGCAGGGGTATCACCAGCGTCTGCCTCACTGGCGGCTCCTGCAGCCCGCACACTAGCTCGACCTTCTCCAGCCAGTCGAGCACGTCACCGGAGCCGTCGAATTCCGGAATTAATTTGACATCAAAACTGGCCATGATATTAGGTGCCGAAATAGCTTGTAGGAGTTGTCTCTGATCACCACAGTTCGTCCGCCCGGCAAATCCAAAGGTCTCAAGAAAAAAGTGAGTATTCCGAACTTACAAAGTCAGACAAAGCACGGTCTTCTGCACCACCTCGGCCACACCACAGAACGCTCAACAACACCTTCCAGTCTCAGCCCTGACTCCCGACTGACTCAGCCTCTTAATCCCGAACAATGGCCGGGCGTGCCCTCCGCCCCCTCCCCTGCGGCGTCAGTTCACCGACCCCATTCCCCTGCGGTGTCAGGTTCACCGTCGGCGGGCGCGTGACGGCCGCCCGTACCCAGGGCAGCGTCCAGCGGCCAGGTCCGGCCAGCCAGCGCTCGCTCCGCTGCACCACTACATTTTACTACATGCGGATTGGCCGGTGCCGTAGACCTGAAATTTAGTTCCAAACAAATATTGTTAGTTCCAAGGAGTTTGCTCAAAATAAAAGGCACAAGCACTCGGCTCCTGAGCTTTACACTATTGCGTAACGCATGAGTAGGCCCGGTCTGTGTTGGAGTGTGACACCTCATATATACTGCAGATCCTTGCGAGGTGGTGATGAGCCTGCCTGGGCCCATGTTTAGGCAGTCGAGTCGCCCAGTGCTCATGGTTTGAGCTCCTGTGGGAGATATCCTGCGGTCGACGCCATCGGGCGCACTCAAGGTCGGGTATCACTGAGCGGAGCGAACCGTGTCCAAGCATTCGGAATGCAAGGACCAGGGATGCGGAGCCGTGGAAATTTCAGACGGCTCCGGCTCCGGCTCCGGCTCCGGAGAAAAAAATCGGCTCCGGCTCCGGCTCCGGCTCCGGGTGAAATGTTATGGCGGCTCCGGCTCCGGCTCCGGCTCCGAGTAAAATGGTCCGGCTCCGGCGGCTCCGGCTCCGACTCAGTACATCCCCTATGCAATCAATTAAATACGGGTGGAAGAAAAATTGGATTGGTTATACGCGTTACTCTTTGCCATGACCGGCTCATGACCGCGTCCCCGCGCAAACGCACCTCGGAGAGAACTGGCAGAACAAAGGACTAGGAAGCGATGGCATTGGAAACGCAGTCGCCGCGAATCGGAGTTCACTGAACCATCGTAAGCTGACACCCGTCTCGGCAGAGACGGTGCTGGGAGTCGCAGTCCACTGCACTGGCTTGAAAACAATGGCCGTCACCTGATGACCGGTCCTCATGTTCTGGGGATGCAGTAGACGTGGGGGGGGGGGGAGGAGCAGACAGGAAGTTGATGCGTACTGTGGGATACTGGGGATATTCGGCTTTTTTCATTCACTTGATGGCCCATGACGTAAGTACATACCATATGTTTCACTGCCTTGTACTGTCAAACCGAACTAGGTCAATTATTTTTTTTGCCTCTTCAAAAAATAAAAAGGAGCCGGAGTCGCCCCCTTTTTTGGCGGCTCCGGCTCCGGCTCCGGCTCCGGTCTATATTGTTTCACGGCTCCGGCTCCGGCTCCGGCTCCGGCTCCGGGCAAAATATGCCGGCTCCGGCGGCTCCGGCTCCGACTCCGGCTCCGGCTCCGCATCCCTGGCAAGGACTATCGCACTCACCACGCAAGGGCTGACTCTTGAACTTCCGTCAGATGCTTGCTCTGATTCTGTCATGTGTCGCAGAGAGCATAGGAATGGTGAAAAGCCATTTTTATTTTGCTGTATGGTGTTGAAGCAAGTTATCAAATAAGAATAAATCCTGTCTCGCATCTTTGCAACAAACGCTCTTTACTCTCACGAGTGTTGGTCGACAGTTGTAGCTTTTTGATTCAGCTTCGACATAAAAATAGTACCTACCTGTCACCATTCATGCTCTCTTGCTAGTCTGAAGGCGCAATGGCTCGCTCCGCTCTGGAACGCACGTGACTCGAGTCATGCACGATTTGAACGCCGAGACTCGAGAGGTCGCCACGATGGGCTCTCGTGCCAATTTTTGACTCGGACTTCAACCGTTACCTCTAGCGACCAGACTGGGTCAGGTAAAACTCCAGCCGATGCCTGTTTTTCATTGACCAAAGCTGGATCGAACCGGGTCAGGACCGGGCCCTCAAGACGGCAATCAGGCAGCAATTACTCTTTCTCACCGTCCGGCAGCCTCACACAGAAAATAAGCGGCAGAAGATCGAGCTCACAACTGAACTGAATCCGCTTTGCTTTGTTTTAGCTGGTGCATTAATCATGGAGCTCATTGTGGTGAATATCGTTGTCCAAGTCTGACCTCGTCTTCATGTGACATTTCCTGGTACCGTGCGCACGTATAGGAAGGACCCGCATAGCTCTTTGTGGAGGCCATGGGGTCGTGCGGGTGATGATCACGCAGGTATCGCATCGCGCTGACCTTCAGCTCCTGTTCTCGAATAAGGGTTTTATCTAGTTGAAACAAAGGGAGCTATGGTGACTCACTTGGTAAATTATGTTATACATGGGAACCTTAGGAAAAGGTGTCATACTCTGAAAATAACTCATCTACCGGTGCTACTAATGAGGTCATTGCTTTACTCGGTCCTAAATGAGTCCTTAAATTTTAACCCGCGCGGGGCTGGGGTCTCCAGCCGAACGCGCGGGGCTGGGGGGGGTAAATTTTACCCCCCCCTGTTATCTCCCAAACTAATGGTCCGATTTGGAAAATTCAAACGCCAATCGAAAGCTCTCATCACGAACTACTAAAAACATGTACTTAATTTAAAGTTTGAGGTCAAGGTCAAGGTCAGGTCAAGGGTACAAATTGCAAGTTTCTACAGTATCGGCCTTGCACCGTAGTTGCCGAAGAATGGAGTCATGGACTGAGACTGATCGCCCAAAACGTGTTCTTAGGCTACCAAGACAATATTCGTTGCATACAATATCATTCAGAGGTCAAGGTCAAGGTCAGGTTAGGTCAGGTCAGGTCACCAAAAAACAAAATATAGAAAAGGGCATGTGCGACACATGTTTTATGGGTCATTTTACTCATAGAATTCAATAGGCACACTCAATAAGTGATATGGACCACCTCTGGATGAATTTCAGGTCGAGGTCAGGTCAAGGTCAGGTCAAGTGAGGTCAAATTTTGAAGTTGGTTGTTAAGGCCTACAAAGGTGTCTATCTGATGCAGTTTTTCACGGCGAATCGAATGGTGCTATTTTTGTTTCCGTACGAGGTCTAGAACTTCCAAAAAAGTCATTTTTCAAAAAATTTGTGTGTCGTGACGTCATAAAATTTTAAATAACTCCCACATTTTTGAACCGATTCTTCTAAAATTTGGTATGTAGGTGCACATAGACCACTTCTCTGACATATATTCCGGTTTTTTCGATAGACTCAAAATTTTGGATTTTATAATGATTTTCCCAAAAAAGTCAGTTTTTTGAAAAAATTTAGGCCAAAATCCAAAATTTTCAAAAAACCGAGATAGCCATTTGATAGACAAAGTAAAATTACGTATAAACTTTTTTGTTACGTCTTGATTCCTTTAAAAATGAAGATGTTAGCGGCGTTTGAACTTTTGCCGTTTTTGAGGCGAAAATGGCGAACATGACGTCACTAAAACGTCAATTTCTCAAAAATTTTACGACGGATTTCGCTCAAATTTTCAGGGAATGTGTCAAATTGATGTAAGAAAAGGTACTGAAAGTTTGGCGGCGCTGCGCGCCGCCGTTTTTGAGATATCGCAAAAATTCGCGAGGGGGGGTAAAATTTACCCCCCCCCAGCCCCGCGCGGGTTAACGACGAGAAACGAAAGTTCATTGCACAGTGACTCTCAAAGCCACGGTAGTTATACGCTGCACTCAAAATGTCTTTCGTGGTACTGGCCATCAGGACTCCGCCGGGGGCGCACGCGCTGTGCGTTCCTGGGACCGTTACGGCGCGGCGGCGGTGGCGGAGCGTAGCCTGTGCGGTCACCGGCCGCACGCACTGTGCGTGCGCTTCACACGCAGCGCGTCCGCCGCCGCCGGCGCTGCCGCTGCCACTGCCACGCCGCTGCTGCCACGCCGCAAGCTTCCGTGAGCCGCTGTATCGATCAGCGAGCGAATCGACATCAGTCAATGGGCGTGTAGCCATCGGTCAGGGCAGAGAATGGCAACAGAGCGGGTCGCTCGGGGGTGCCTGTTGTCAGTGCGTCGGTCACGTTCCCCGCCGCGCCGCCGCCGACCACGACTCGACACGGCTCTGGGCGGCGACGGCGGCGTTTGGTGACGGCTAATTGTGGCGTGCGTGGCTCATTGAACTCCGCAGGCCGCCGCTCGGCCGGCCGCGGCTCCGGCTGGGCCGACTGGGGAGCGGCGACTCCGTTCCAGTCCACCGGGCGGCTACGGTCCATCCGTTCGCCAGTCCGGTGCGAGCCGTGCCACTCCAGAAACTGGGACACTTGGAGACCCATAAACACCAAAAAGGCATCTGCTAACTGCTAATTAGCGCGCCGACACAGAAAGAATACCGACATACCGACTAGCGGTGCTTCGGGCCGGAAAATGCAATGCTTAGGGCGACAATAATGCTGCTTGTATGAGATAATATTTTGACTTCGCAGAACATAATTACTGTAATGGTGATCCACTGAATGGAATGACGATTATATTGCACAGCGCATAATTAATTGGCACGATGATCACATTGGGAATCATGCCTGTGCGTTGTCGGCTGCAAAAAGAATGTATCGTTGGCGCAACTCGAGCTTCCGGCTCGGACAATGAATCCCGGATACGCGAGCAGCCCGTATGCACCGTGACCGTTCTTATCAAACCTGATTTCGGTACCATATATGAGTGATTGAAGGAATGAGGGGGAATGTCAGTGACCAGTCGATACGACGTGCATGATCGTACGACTCTGCCCATCAAACATTTCATACACTGTTTAGTATTCATCTAAGCAGATTGTCAAATCACATTTTAGTTTTAGGAACCATGTTTGCTTGCTTTTCTTCAACAATCTACATGCAGCCTGGTCAGCAAGAACTGTGTCTCCATGGCAATATCCAGTCAGATGGTGGTCGGCACATGGAGCCAGCGTTCCTCGGCAAAGCAGCTGTATGAGAGACGCCGCCGAGCGTGGCACATTTCCAGAACTAGGTAACGCCGCGCGCGCAGCCGTCCGGCACCGTCAGCCCGCTTCCTGGCGACACCGCCGCCGGCGCTCCCGCAGGAGCCATCGGAGCTACGGGAGCCGCGGAGCAGTGGGAGCCAGACGGAGGCAGAGAGAGGCACGGGAGCCGTGGAGAAGCTATGGGAGACATGCGAGTCTCAGGAGCAATGGGAGCTTCAGGAGCTCAGGAGCTTCAGGAGTGGGCGAGATTGCTGAGGTCCCGATCTGAGATCACTGCCGCAGTAGTTAGGGCTTTTGCTCGGCGCTCGAAGGCAAACGGTTCGTCTGGAGCTAATGGTCTCCGGCATGAGATATCAGCACTGTAATTGTAACAGTCACGCAGAGTGCGGCGGAGGCACCGGACGCGGGCAGGCGGCGGCGGTTCGTTTGGCGGCGCCAGTAAATCCTCCAGTGGTCGGGGAGTCCGGGTAAAAAGCCGGCTCCCCGCGGCGTCCCGTCAGCCGAGCACACGGCGGTCTCTGGGAGGGAGGCCGAGAGCTCCCGGCCGCGCCGTGAGCCGACAGCACGCCCGAGCCGCGGGGGGTGAGCTCGGCGCGGCGGGGGTCGCGTTCGAGCCAGCGGGACCCGGCGCCTCGGAAACCGAGACGGCTGGGTGGTCGACGGTGCCCCGCGGCTGGAGATGAGGTATCGGAGATCGGAGCTGGTTCCACCCACGGCGTTCGAAGGCACGCTGGGATTAATCAGCTTCCCACGAAGAAGGCATTTTGACCAGCGTCTTCCTGGTTCGGCATTCATGCCTTCTTATCCGTGCCTTCCATCTAAATAGCGCCAAACAACAAGATCGTTCTTCATCCTACCCTCACGTGAGAACCACAGTGTATCCAGCCATTGAAAGGGTTTATTTAACACCATGAAGCACTCTATATCCTCCAACAAAAGCGCCGCGGAGCGCGATATCTATCACAAGCGTTTTCCCAACACACCCATCACCGGACCATGAGACAGGCGCGAGAAACGTGCGGCAGACACGCACATTAACGCGCCAAGTCTGCCGCACTCACGCGCAAAAAGCCTCCGTCGGACAAAAGACGCCGCTCGGGCACTGGCTGACTGTGCGTTCTGGCCACGCGTACCAGCCTTAGAGGCGGGTCTGGACGGCCTGAGAGAGGCCGGGACCGGTCCGTGCCGACCCGGTCAGTCTGGAGCATTGTTTGGCGGTGGACGGACTGAGCTGATACAAATCGGCCGCGCCGCCCTGTGTATTGTGGGTCCGACGGGCCGGGAACGTCCCAGCGAGGAGGGCGGGACGGCGTGAGGACAAAAACGGCGCGTAATGCGCCACTGCACGCGCGCGGCAGCTGATCGGTGGCGCCACTGGACGAGTTCTCACGGCGAGCTGAGGTCGACGGGCGACGGCAATTAGCGGCGCGAGACGCGCCAAATTGGGCCGTCAGACAGCGACAACCCTCAGTTTGGAACTCATAAATATCGTCCGAAACCAAACAAAAACGCTCAACGCTGCCTCCAGCATCGTCTAAACTCGCGAATGCGATATCAGCTTACTGCTGCAACGTACTCCTTAGCAATATGGCTATATTTTGCCTTTTCAAACAGCTTCTCACACTCAGAGCGACTGAGCGCGTCTCTGATTGCATCGAATTTGTCATGATTAGATGCGAGTTTCGGCGCTATCCAGCATGTCCGAATTTGACCGCATTATCCGGCTCCAGTGCCGATTGGGACGACTCTCACCCCATCCAGGCGCGATAAGTACCCACTGGTCCTGCGTCCCACCCCGCCCCGGACAGCGCTGGTTCCCACACTTTTCATGGTGTCTGCGCGAACGTACCCGCTTATTTGGCCCGATCACGGCATCGGTACCTTACAGCCCATGCCGCTGTCCTGTCGGACTATTTGGCGCTGAGAGGTAATGCGTCAAATACCTAAGCATAGAATGTTATTTCATTTCCAAACCAATCTTATATATTTTATCTGACCGCAAGATACTTAGATGTGTTTATAGGGGCAAAGATAACATCACTAGCAGAAAAACACTCTTAAAGCTTTGACCTACGTCTATTTACACAGTGCCCTTTTTCTTTTATTTCACAGATACTTCAGAAGATGGAGCGGCAAACACTATGGGGCCTGCGGCTCCAGAATATTGTCCTCACTTGTGTTCTTCTATTGGCCTCGTTCTCAGCATGTTCTGGTAAGTAGTACAATTCACAGGATCGCAGAAATGGCACAACTCTCGGCGGTGTATTATCGGGGTGCTCAGACAACTCCAGTAACTTTGTAGGTCACTTTCAGGCCAGTCAGGCATGTCACCAACGTGAGATTTATGCAAAACTTTCGCCCGAAATATCCTCTCGGTATAAGATGTGGGAATTTGTGGATAGCTTCTATAATGATATTTGCATGACACCCACATGTAGCTGCATGCATTTTAGCACACATTAGCACATAAGCACCTTTGTTCATTTTTAAACGAGGAAGAACGTTTCACCGTGAAAGTGTGTCATAAACCTCCCACTAACCTCCACATCAACTGACGTATGTCTATGATCCGACAGCGGAGGTAGCCTTTGAGAAGCTGACAGATATGGACTACCGAGGCACCACGTACTACACGATCCGTAACCTGACCCTGTACGAGTGCCAAGGCTGGTGCCGCGAGGAGCCCGAGTGTCAGGCGGCTTCCTTCAGGTCAGTGCCCGAACGGCAGCGGCGCGAGGGCGACACACTGGACGTTTTACACGCGTGTGTGTTGATTGACAGAATACAGGAAGACTCACTCATCGTAATCTGTTCATCTTGCTCGATGTCACTTTGACTGACAAGTGGAAACTCGTACCAAGCAAAGTGGCAGTATTACGCACCTGTTAAGCCGTATAGGAGGCTAACACGTCTTCTTCAAGACGTGCTAAAATGTGGGAACGGAGGCTCTTCTAGTGCGTGACGGCTTAATTTCTTCAGTAATTATTTTTCCACGTTCACAATAGCGTCCAATCCCTTCGCTGGGAGTAGCTGTCCGCTGAATTTGTAGCCACTCTGGCGCTGGTGTGGCAGACGGGCTGTTACGACAGGAAGCGTTCATGCCGGTCATTTATCAGTGCTGTCCACGTGACACAGAGTTCACTGCACTGCGGAACAGTCGTCACTAAAGCAGTACCGACAAGGGCACGCTCAGAGGCGCGCAGCGGTGGCCCGCCCACAGGCGCGAGTGGAAAAACCACAGATACTTTAATTCGAATCGATAATTGTTGTTTTGTTTTGTTCAGAAGCAATTACACATCATTATGAGTTATCCGCTGTTTTTCCGTGTGCTCTCTTTGATTTGTTATTCCAGTTACGCCAGGTTTAGTAATTTTGCACCTGGACCGCAATTTAAAAATGTATGCGCCGGCTTATCATTGCACGCTGCTCTTCGTTCCCGTAACGGCAGAAGCTGAAAGGTAGCAGTGTCAGCGACACTTCACGAAACGTTCATGACCCGCCGTGACTCCACCGTGACCGTGTCGTGACGTTGTCGTTTCAGTTTCGTCTCCAACCCGCTGACGCCGGTCCAGGAGACGGTCTGTCTACTACAGAACGAGACGGCTGCCAACAACCCGTCAGCGGTGCCCAAGCCGGCCATCAGTACCTACTACATGATCAAACTACGCATCAACTCAGGTAAGTGGGGCCGTTATCATCACAGACGGGGGCTGCACTCGTTTTATCAGTCACGGGTGGGACTTCAGAGCGATATCGTGACTCCCCGGTGGCCTAATGAGCCACCGCAAGAAATTCATCAGATATGACTCGTGTTGGGTGACAGTGCAGGTTTTTTATCGCTCAGTTCGTACCGGGACTGGTTTTATGCATAATGTTGGCATGGTACAGCACCTGTTGGCATTGTAGCTACACGCCTGCTGAAATAAGATACACAAATAACGGAAGAATGCAGGTTATGGAAATGGTTAGACTTGTTGTGGTGGGAAGCTACAAACACCACTTCAATGAAATGACTTATGACTAGAAGAATGAATTACGTGGTTGACGGTTGTGGGTTTCACATGATTGCACATTGCTAGTGCCCGCAAAACGCTCCATTTTCACCACAACCATTACTACCTATCATTCATAATGATTGCGTGACTTCGAACATGCAATTTTGGCCCAGGTCATGAATACATTGACCTAGATTGGGAGTCGTCACACTGGAATTCTCATGGAGAATACAAGTTTTTCCTACAGACCACGCACGACTTCCTACAATCACAAACCAGTTCTTCCTAATCACAAGCTCGTTGGAGACCAATCAGATCGTGACTCCGCACTCGGCTGCCGGTGCGGTCCGTTTGGTTCGGAGATGTTCCGGACCGGCCCGTTTCCGTTCCGAGCCCCTCGCTGGTTCTCTCGATTCACGAACAGTTCGACGTCGTGGCTTCGCGGCCAGCCACCGGCCGCACGTCGGCCTAACACCCCGGGGCATTGCCCTCCGGAGGCCTTGCAGAAAACACGTGAATCATGCGTACAATCGTAAAAAGACACAGGTGGCTGCGTCATTTTTGTGCGATTCACTTTGTGCCGCGGTGCGTGCCGGATGTCTTCTGCCGACTCATCGTCAAATGTCTCCCATCTAAAGACACGACCGCTTAAATACTGAAAGACATGCTTGTGAGCGGTTAAACGCCTGTCCTGAAAGCCTCTCATCATCACGTTATAATAGGGGTCGTAAAGCGGTGCCGTTAAGCGTTGGCCGGCATGTGCCTGCCGTTGTTACACTAGGTGGCCTCTCAGTACCACCCGAACTCCGCCCGCGGCCCCACCCCGCGCACCGCCGAGCCGACATACAGTTAACAATGACCGGCGGTGGTCCCAGTGGCGGCACATCAGCAGATGGCAGACCGCTCTGTAAATATTAATCGGTCTCTGTGGGTGGTGACGAAAATGAACGCTAACTGAGAGCAAAAGAGACTTTTGAGACGCGACGTTTTGTTCACTAGGGTGTTATACAACTGAGGTGGAAAGATATTTCTGTAAAATAACACATTGTGAAATGTTTTGCTCTTATATACCTAATGACATATCTGTAATCAGAAATTAGTGTTCAAAGTAGATGTACAGCTAGTCTTGTTACACCCACTTTCATGTCCGGTGCTGATATCGCACACTTTGTCAAACCTCGTGCCAGCGCTATGTTCTGAAATGCAGTCTCCGGTGTTACCTTCGTGTGCTGAGCTGCAGTCTCCCAGTTTTCCGCCGCTCTCGCTCCCCAACGTGCGGCTGTGCGGCATGTAGTCACAGGCCGTGGTTTGGCCGGCCACGCTGGCCACTGCCGTGGCTCGGTGTGGCGGTAGATACTCGTGGCAGCTGGGTGGTTTTGTCCGCGGTGCTGTGGCTCTGAATTGGTAACGGACCGGGTGCCGTCGGCCCGTGACGGCCGGGGCGCCGGACGGTGGTCCAGGGGCTTCGAACGGAGGTTCTGGGGCGCCGGGCAGGGTGTCCAATATCCATGCAGGGGCGCCGCCCTACAGCCGGCCTGATATAACGCCAAGCAAGGTGTCGTGTCCAAGGACCTAAAATTACTTACTTCGTGTCAGACGTGGTCAGGTCATTGACTCCGACTGACATCGGTCAGAATACAGACATTGGTCACAGGCTAAACGCATGCCGGCATCGGCTCCCACGAAACCGGAAACGGCTCGACTCATGATCATAACATTCGTGCCCATATTTCAGATACGTAGTCTGCAAAGTGTACATAATTATTGCGTCACATCAGTGCCAGTGTTTAAAAGATGAACATCTATCAGCTGAAAGCAATGCGCGAAAACACCGATGGGTTTATTAGCATTTAACGTTTATTAGCATTTTGTGTATTTAACCAGTTTATTTAGCCGCTTGTTTAACCGTGTCAGCATATTGCTTATTTGGCATTTAACCAGTTCCTTACATCTTCAGCTCGTTCATGAGCAGAAAGGCAGCTTTTAACATTTCTAACTCTTCTCCGTTTTTTTCAGACAAGGTCTGTAACCGGCCATGGACGTTTGAGCGTCTACCGAAGAAAATGCTGAGGGGGCTGGACAATGCTCTCATGTTTGTCTCCACCAAGGAAGCGTGCCTGGCGGCATGTCTGAACGAGGTACGCAGGTCTGCTTTGAACAAGCACCGTAAAATGGCTCTGTCTTATTCGGCAAGAGGACAATTTTCTCATGATCCCTAATTTAGCTCCATTTTGCCAATTTCCCTAGCTTAATGTCCTACAAATAGCTGTATGTGATGACATTATAACTGTTTATAATCTCTTCGCGGGCCATTAAAACTGTATCAGGTGTCGGACATCCCAGTGTCACCGACCCCTCGTTTCGCAACGTCACTGCCCAGTGTCCGGTGTCCATCCTCTGTTCCGACCGCGAGGCAGCTTTGTATCCCCCTCTATCCAATTGTTTGTCGACTATTTGTCTGATGCCGAAACGAACCAACAGATAATTAGACTCGTTTCAAGAAGCCTTGTCATTCTCAAAGTTATAAAAGACTTTTACTCGTCCTCAGTGATCCTTAAAATTGAAGCCCAAGAGCATCAATTATTCACTTCTTCTTATTCGCTTAATAACGGGCTACTTGACACATAAGTGCTCCATCTTGAAAGGCGCCTCATAATGGACGCTAATTTTGTTTCCCGACGGGAGCCACCCCTTCGAATCCCCACGAGCTCCCTGACCCCGGGCGCCCCTCCGACCAGCCCTCGGTCGCCGCCCGTCAGTTTCCGACGGAAGCCGCGTCTCTCCAATCCAGCGCCAGTCCCGTTACCGGTGGCATGTGTTCACACCGGCCCGTGAGAGCCCGCGCCATGATAGCGGGACGGGGCAAGGCCGGACCGCCCGGTGGGAGCCGGGCTTTAGAGTCGACGGAGCGGCTATAGGAACACTTTGTCACGAGCTTGTTCGGCCACGGCGCCGCTGGTGACGGGATCTCCGTAAAAATGACCGTGTTTGACAGAAGCTCCTGTCTTTGTGGTGTTCGTTTATTACCGATACTCGTGGCGATAACCTGCCACAAACGATCCATTACGATCTCAAACTGACGTTTAGTGTCAAACTCAATTATGGAGTCGTAAAAATGCATCCTGAAACACATTACATTTGTTACGACTCTGCAGTGACATGGATGAAGTCAGCATCCACCATATTGCCCCTCCCCGTCCGTCCGACGTCCGTCTCTATATCTTATCTCCATGCGTCTCACCACTGTGCGTTCTATTCCAGGAGCGTTTCATCTGTCGCTCTGCCGAGTACAGCTATCTGACACTGCAGTGTCATCTCTCCGAGCACGACCGTCGCTCGGTGGACGAGACCATAGAGATGGTGGAGGCCGACCAGGTGGACTACTTCGAGAACCTCTGCCTCTCCGGTGAGTGCAGAGAGAGAGAGAGAGAGAGAGAGAGAGAGAGAGAGAGGGGGGGGGAGAGAGAGAGATAGAGAGAGAGAGAGAGAGAGAGAGAGAGAGAGAGAGAGAGAGAGAGAGAGAGAGAGAGAGAGAGAGAGAGAGAGTGAGGGAGAGAGAACAAAATCGATCTCAGTGATTGTGGGAATGACTGGGGACAGCCATGGGAAGTGAGAACGTCATATGATTTCAGTTATGAGAGACATGGATCTGTATAATCACGGCAAAGGTGATTACAGATTAGAAGTGACATCGATGCGGAATCACGCTCATAACATCAAGGGCAGCTAGCTGGATGCTGGTATTTTATAGATAGACATTCCTTCAATCTTGAACAGAAGGCTTGGCAGGTAAGCTATCCCAATTAGACGGTTATTATTCTTTCTTTGGTTATCAAGTCGTCTTGCGCTGCCCATAAACTGAATCCTGAGACAAAACGCAGGCGTCACGTTTACAGCCATCGACACCTCTTATTTGCTGCAATAAGCCGGCTATAGCGGTCTGTTATGGCCCACGAGGTGGTTGATCTCGATTCATTTCGGCTGACCTCGGGTGGACGGGGGCGCACGCCGTGTGTGCCGGACGGCTAATTAGCATTTTATGCCGTTGTTTGTGGTACATCCCACCCATCATTGGTAGCTCTCATGGCTGGTGCTGGATCCCGTTACCCTATGGAATGTTCTCGCCTGATGGAATAGCATACACCTCATCTATCGTGCCCGTTTTAGGGCCAATTTACTCTCAGCCTAAGGCCTGGCGGCATGCAGTATTCAATCAGACGGCAAGTAGCTATGCGGCTATGCCTGTGCAGTGCGATAGCTCTCAGTAGCGCAGCTATTCCCCTCAAGCTTAGAAGGAACAGCGGCGGCGCTGGGCCGGTGGGATGAAGAAATGTCTGTCACCGGTGAGCCAGGCACCTGTCGCCAGATGGTGAGCCTCGTGGCGTGCCGTGCGCGGCTCACCGCGGCCTCACGTGGTGTCTGCCGCGCGAGGACTACCATATGTCGGCAGCTCTGCCAACGCTCCCAACCGGACACAGTAGTGGGGTTTGAGCCACACTGGCGGTCCTCTCGTCTACTCAGATAATTTGAAGCTGAACAGATGTAATGGCGAAGTGAAATAAAAAACATGCTGTTATATTACTAGAAAAGGGGAATAAAATCAACTAAAAACAAAAACATTGGATTGGTTTTTGAGGGGCATCAAAATATATGTGGATATGAAACGCGAGTTTACAATTTTGACCAAAGATTATCCTCAAATTACCTGGAACTCTTACGACATTTTTACGAAGCTTAATTTGTTTCTTTTTATTAATCTTTAAAACTTTATTGACTTGACTTCGGCCTTAATTTATCCCTTTCATGTTAAAAATGACCCCTCGAAGGTGCTATGAAGTCTCGAGCTTAAACATTCATTGTTTCGTCTTCTTTTTTTCTATTGTAAAGAGCATTTGAAACTCATGTCCGGGAGGCTTTCGTAAAAAAACTCATTCGTTTTCTAGCCATACTAACCGTCGTGCTACATCCTTCAGTAAATTACAGCGAGCTCCATCAGCACCAGCCAAGTGCTCTTTTATCCGTCGGGGAGGGATCAATGTCCCTCCGAAATGAGCCTCAATCTCCTCGGGAACGGCCTCCTTGCAGCGCGGCTGCGGCCATTATGTTTAAACGGTTTCGTTTGCCGAGAACAATGCAGAGACATTTATCCGGAGCATTTAAACACTCCATTTCCCGGCCATCAGAGCACCCCGGCATGACCTGATGTTTCGTGACCAATTTCGCCTTACCACGAACGCTCTGATTGAATAGCTGGTCCCTGCTCTCAAACGGCCCATTCGTAACTGCGCTAGTTTCATCAGTGGACCGATTTGGTGCTCTGTTCTTTGTTCGCGCGGCAATTGCAGATCTCCACAGCAAGGTACCAGCATCATCCCTAACTCCAACTCTTACAGCAACTCTGCCATAGATAGAATATCTCTCAAACTGAAACCTCTTGCTTCGCTCTTCACCTGCCCATTTCCTATTACCGACCGCCGCGCCGACGCCCCGGACCGCTAGCGCTGACACCTGAATGTGCCACGGCAGGTGCACAGGCGTGCAAGGGAGACCGCGAGTTCCCCACGCCGGAGATCGGGGTGCCGAACGCCATCATCAACCGTTACGTGGACACACACTACTACGTTGACCTGGAGCTGATGGTGAGCCGGGCGCTGTGCGAGCGTGCAGTGGCAGGATGGAACACAAGACCCAAGGACTGTGCTGATGTGGTGAACATTTATGTTTTCAGTGTCGTTAAAGTGATGTATTTAATTAATTAAGCTGATTAACGTAGCTCTTTCAAGATCCTAGCCAATGGATAGCTTCAGAGCTACCGATGCCCGAAGGAGTCTAGGAAACAGACCTAACCAAGTGCTATCTATCACGTTTCGAGCACTCATCATATCGCAAAACTCCTGCCCTCACATATGTATCGTTTGCTCCTGCGACGCTACGTTCAGCACACATCAAAACTCACCGTTTGACGCCACTTTCATCCCCAGGCTAACAATGTGGAGGCCTGTCGGCGCGCCTGTGAGATCGAGAACGAGATCCTGTGCCGGTCATTCCTGTACCGCGGCCCCCCGACCGGCACCACGTACAACTGCCAGCTGTTCCACATGGACCACGTCACCCTGCCGGACGGCGCCGAGACCTTCCTGGACAAGGACCGGCCTCTGATCGACACCGGCAGCGACCCGGGCATCTACTACGAGAACGTCTGCAAGAGTGAGTCAGAGCGCGGGGGAGGTGATGTTAAAATGATGCAAAGCCGCATAGCAAATACGATATTTCTAGGTTTAATTCGTAATAATTCACTCATGAGTCATGACTCATCCGTTTCTTTCTAAGTTTCGAGTCTCCTAAAATACTTATCTTATTGCTGTGTAGCTTTAAAGAAAAATAATATTGGCATGCTGTAATTACGTTTTGATAAATGGAACAATAAACGCTAGCATTTTATCATGCAACATGCTTAGAAGAATAAGAGCAAGTCATGTGTAACAAACGACTTCAAGTGGAAATCCCACAATTTGACGAGCTAGAAGTGGCGTCTGACAGATGTGCAGGCCACATGAACTGTCCAATAACGTGCCGTTAATGTGTAGCTTGTGCACCCGGTTCGAGGCACTTGGCCGGTACATAGTCACGTTTGTAGTTATAGTCACGCTATGCACTCTTGTTCACCCTCCAAGTAACTTAGAGAGTGTAGCTGGCACAGCCTTTTCACAGCTTGGAATAAACTGCTGGATCACCGGTACTTGACATCATCTTGTGTGCACCTTGTGTTCAGGTTGTGTCTGTGTACGTGTGTGTGACTTCCTAGACTTGACAGTTTGAGTTAAGACCCAGGTGCTTCGTATCCTTGCCTCTTTTACTGAGCCTTTGAATATGCACACACTCATTCCTGCTACTTCCTATCTATTGGAGACTGTCTTTCCGTTTCTTGGAAGATGATTGAAGTAGTTTTATTAGACACCACTCTTTCCCAAAGCATAGTTTTTATAAGACCGTGATCTCTTTTTTACAAAAATGCTACAGCCATAGTCCAACAAAATCCACCTCGTCAAGAAGGAAGATGACATGCCCTCGTTGGAACCCGTGAATTCAGCCACTCCCTTCCACCTGTTCCCATGCGCGGCCCCGACTGATGACTGATTTGTGACGCTCTTGACGTTTTAGAGCCGACTGACAACATGATCTGTCGCCAAGTAGTGACCAAGAATAAACGCTACATCACCCAAATCATGTGCTATGAGAAACCCAAAAGTAGACAGACTGGAGTGTTTAACTTCGGGGCAGGTAAATGACGAAACACCTACATTACAAATAAAGTTTCCGTCAGAGCCCTATCTCTTTCGAACCAACCGCTAACGCATGAATAGTGGAGACTCTTGGAGATTCTTTTTACGTCCCTAAACTGTCTCTTTGACTGGCGAAACATACTTCTTCATCGGCGAACATCCTAAATCAGAAGGCGAACATGGCTATTTACTGTCATTCCATCTATTGTCTGTCGTTACTGAAGGAATGGCATGACATGTGACTTTTACCCACTCTGGCTAGAAAGACCTTTGCACGACAAATGAGTTCAGCTAACCAACCTTGTCCGTGTCCCGACGATTACGGAACGATATTATGTTCTTCTGACAAGCATGCCTGACCTTTTCTTAGCATGACAATTTACATTCCCTCAGGCTGTCGCGGTCATCAACTGGAGACACGAGTGCACGCATGACCACACGCATGTGACACATTCACACCTTCTCACACAGGATCACCGGTGGTGTCTGCTGGTGCGGCTCTCTCTGACGGGCCTCAAACGGCCGCTCTCGCGGAGCTCATCTCTTCCAGCCTCTCCCAGGGCCCCAGCTCCAGCCCCCTCACCATTGCGGCCTCCTCGGACGAGACTATCCCGGGCTCCAGCAGCGATCCTGCCGAGGTCCCGAGTGGTCCACTCAGCGCCGGTCCTTTGACGGGCTCCGGAGCGCCGACTGTGGTTGGTGCTTCCGCCCCGGGCTACTACATCCCGCCCAGCACCGGGTTCTCCCCCAGTGTGGCAGAACAGACCTCGGAGTCCGATCCTCCTCCCTCAGCTGAAGGCTCCACCGTCGAGGTCATCTCTCCGGCGGTGGGGAGCTTTGTCCCGCAGTTATCTCCTCTAGCTGCCCTCACTGAGCCCGGGAGTCCCGCGCCTCCCTCTGTCTCATCTGACCCCAACCCCACCGAACCAGAGAATCCTCTCCCGTCCGTGGCTAGTGAATCCAATAGTCCCCTGCCGTCCGTTCCTAACAGACCCGGCAGCCCCCTCCCGTCGGCTCCTAGCAAGCCCGTGAGCCCCCTCCCGTCCGCCCCTAATGGACCCAGCAGCCCCCTTCCGTCCGCCCCTGGTCAACCCGGGAGCCCAGCCGTCCCGACCAGCGAGTCCGCTGAACAACTAGGTACGCCTCTGTGTCCTGTTGGAGTCCAGCTGTCGCTTCTTGTGCGCTCCAGGGCATGTGGTAAAGGAGCCTCACCCAGGTGCAACGCTAACCTGTACACTAGCTGCTGAGGAAGCCGGTTGCATCTCGTCAGCCACCAGCCATGCAGAAAAAGCTTATGTCGGACCATATTACCAATGGTTTCTGCATAGTATGGTTGATGGCTGACGGAGGGAACTAGTTTCCATGGCAACGCTTCCCGGCTGTGACTGACGCCTCTGCTGACTGCTGGGAAACAGACTGGGACTGGACTGACCAATGAAACTGGTGACTGACTAACACACTGATTGACTGATGGTGTGATTATGTGTTCACCTGTATATATAACGGAGTCATTTTCGTGAGATGTTGCTGGTTCTTGCTTTTGAATATAGCCGCACATTTGTATTTCGTTTGATCGAATGGTGATTGCAATCATGGCTATTTAGAGCTGAATATATCAATGCAATAAATGTTTTACGAAGCTCTTTACAGTCCATCACTTTGTACAAAATATACGTCGAGTATATTTTTGCCTTTTTATTTCCTCATCTAAAATTTGACTTGGTAACAAATTTGATTGAATAAAATTATTGCTAGCTAAGTGAAATGATATTCTGACCGGAGCTTTCAAAATGCACCTGACTGGGTTCCTCTCTAACTGTGTCTGTTTGTGTACCAGGATCTTTGGACGGCGGCCCGGAGCCGGGTCCACTGCCGGCGGTGGACCCCACCGAGCCTCAGATTCCCTTCCCCACCGGAGACACGGAGGGTGCCGGATCGGACACAGGTATACCGGGGAGAGAACGGGAGGGAGACGGGAAGGGAACGGGGAGGGGACGGGAAGGGGACGGGAAGGAAACGGGAGGACCAGGGACGGATGGAAATGGGCGTGGTTGGAGAATTAGGGCCTAGATGAACTAGGGGAAAGGAATGAGAAGGGGATCAGCTGGGCGGAATAAGCCAAGCTACACATTCTCGAACTAAATAAAACGACAAGTTCTACGTTGAGGGAATCTTACGCCACGACTTAGTAGGCAAGTTTTACTCGTTGCATCGCCTCTAGCTGAGCTTCTCTAACGTTCATTTCCCCTCCCATTCGCAGCCGGTGAGGGTGACGGCGGTGATGGCGATGACGGTGCCGAGATCGTCACCATTCCCGACCTGCCAATCTCTGGCGGCGGCGGCAGCAGTCCAGGTGGCGCCACCGGAGACCCAGCAGGCGGCGCCACCGGCGGAGACGGCGGCAACCCTGCCATTCCTGATGGAGGCGATGGCTCGAGTCAGACTGCCGGCGAGGGCAACGATCTTAACTGTGACTCCAGCGGCACCTGCTATGATGGTCAGTAATCAGTCGCTCCACCGCGTGCCATTTCATCAACCATGTCAGTGTTGCCCGGTATTATGTGGTGTTATGCTGCTGTGCGGCGCTGCAGTCGCCGTGTTAGTGTTATGTGCGAGACTGCAGTCTTCAAGGATACTGTTATGTGACATGTTGCAGTCTCTGGTTCAAATCCTCTGTGTCAGTGGTATTGATTGCAGTTCAAACTAGCTTCGGTGGCCCGTGGCTTGGTACTAAAATTTAAAGAATCATTATGACAAGTTCCCAGACAGCTAAGCTATAACGTTTAGATGAGAACTTTTGCAATGCCCCTGCCAGCTGTACTAAGAGACCATGTAAGGCGTCTCAGGTAGCTGTTCTAAGAGAGTCTGCCTACTTTCCCAGTGTCTGTACAGTGCAAGGACACCCGGATCGTCGTCCAAGTGGGCACCAACCGTCCCTTCAACGGCCGTATCTACGCGCTGGGCCGCTCTGAGACCTGCAACGTGGCCGTGGTGAACTCTGATCGGTTCCGACTGGACCTCAGCCTCTCCGGACAGGACTGCAACACTCAGTCCATCGTGAGTCTAGCTCTGTAACGCTCAGTCCATCGTGAGTCTAACGTTGTGACACTCAGTCCATCGTAAGTCTAACTCCGTAACGCTCAGTCCATCGTGAGTGTAACGCTACAACACTCAGTCCATCGTGAGTGTAACGCTACAACACTCAGTCCATCGTGAGTGTAACGCTACAACACTCATTCTATCGTGAGTGTAATGTTGTGACGCTCGGTCCATCGTGAGTGTAATGCTACAACACTCAGTCCATCGTGAGTGTAACGCTACAAGTTACAACACTCGGTCTATCGTGAGTTTAACGCTGTAACACTCAGTCCCTCGTAAGTTTAATGCCGCAACATTCCGTTCAACACTGTAAAATTGGTCAACTGTGAGTTTTACAGTGCGACACTATCAATGGCAATTTTTACGTGAAGCGTAATTGAACGTTATGTTAACACGCTACAGCAAAAGGTTCGTGGCGGGCTAGGCGAGAAACACTCGTTAAGTCATGATAACGCTATTACTTAAATACCACCCGGCCGTTTCCCAGGGCACCGTCTACTCCAACACAGTGGTGGTTCAGCACCACTCGGTGGTGATGACCAAGACGGACAAGATCTACAAGGTGCGCTGCACCTACGACATGTCCTCACGCAACATCACCTTCGGCATGATGCCCATCAGGTCAGTCCCCAGTGCATTGTTGGAGCATCTCCATGATCTTCTTTAGGCACTCAACATGTTTGAACTTCGTCATGTTTCCTTGAGAATGCAGTGATCCAGTGACCCCAGACATAAATTGAGAAGAAAAATATAGATTCTGGGAGGACCTTTGGAAGAAAATGATTTGAACGAGAATTCGAACAACACTTAGCGTCTTCCTTCCGTTTAAAGTTGTTCTTTACGAATATCCAGCTAAAATAACTATACAGAAAAAAATCGACTCTGACGCAACGTCTAGAGGATAATTTGCCAGCCCTCGCGTTCCTAGATATGGATGAATAACTCAGCTTATCTACCATTCTTTGTGCCTCCCCATGCTTTGAAGTGACTATCCTGGTTGTTAGAAAGCATAGTATGTGACTAAAAACATAAAATTTTGTTTGTTTTAAAGTTTGTGTGCTTAGAAAGTCCGCCGTAGACAATAGCAGTAACGTTCTTTTCACATGAGAATAACAACAGTCAAACGACGTATACATTCGGCTAATATGCCGTTACTGCCGTTTATGTTATTCTCATGTACGAAGAACATGTGGACCTTTGTGACTGACCATTGTGAGTGTAGCACTAGACCCCCGGGCACTTAGCTATAGTGTAGTGTAGTTACACCACACGTCTCCCCTTCCAGTCAAGCGGCTCAAGATCCCAACTCAGAGTTTTATGACCCTAACTTTGACGCTGAGTCGATGGGGCAGCTGCTGATTCGGTAAGAGCCGGTCATGTGACCCCTGTGTGTTAACCCCGCTGTGACTGACACGCACGTTTTGTGGGCACCGGGTGAGAGAGCGAAAGGGAGCGGGAGGGAAGTAAGAGACGATGATATGAGTGCGCGCTGCACGGGGGGAAAGGGAGAGAAACTCAGGCGTCGAAACAGTGGTGAGACGGAGATGTCGTGAGAGGTGAGGTGGTAGCTAGCTGAGCACGCTGAGATCGAACCATTGTGACTAACGCTTGACTGACAATTTATGTTCGAGGTAAAGTATGGACGCTCGTCTGTGTCTGTGTTTGTACCTCTCTACTAAAAACCTGTAATGAATCCATTACTGAAGTGCCTCAAGAACTATGCTCTTGGGAGTATGCTGCCATTCCAGCAACAAGAGGAAATATTTTGTATTCCACAATCTACATATTACCCCCCATTCTCGACCTTGAGAGGTAGCATATGTACTTAACAAAATAAGCGCCCCTTCCAGAAAAAAGTAGCGTATCATTGCTCATTATTGGACTAGCTTTGTATGCACATATATTTCCTTCTGTATTATATCAAAACGTTGAATGCATGATACTTGTAAATATATGCGAACTCCGGATCAGTAATGTATATTTCATCAAACAGACTGAGTGACAAAATAAATATGTCACCTGATACTGATTGGACGTATCTAAAAATATAGCTTCTCGTGCAACGAATATCCATTTTATTCTGACTTACAAACAATTGGCAATTTATGTGGTAACACATTTACCTCCATAGTTCTTCCAAATTTAGGTATATTTGTGATTTAAACAACAACAGTGATAAATTAAAAAGCAATTAATTTCATGCCTGTAAATTTCTGTCTTTCATCGTTTGAAATCATGAGAAGAAAATAATACTTGACGGTATGCTGGCTCATTTCCATTGCCGCGCTTATGTGATGCCTCCGATATTAATTCACCGATCTTGCAGCATCACACCCAACACTCATCACTCTCAACAGTGCACCGCTAGTACGACTTCCCATAAATTCACAGTACCTCAAAGTGCAATACCATGACGAGACCTTGTCCATTTCCCAGGGACCCGGACATGATTTCGATCACGTCTGCGCCAGCCGCGCCTCCGCCTCGTATCTCCATTCTGGACAAGACCGGTCAGGTGGTGGAGACTGTCCGAATTGGCGACAAGCTCACCTTCCGCATCGAGATTCCGTCCAACAGTGAGTCGGGCACTGCCTGCACGCGCCAGGGGCGAATGGAGGGTCTCCTGTGAACAATGATTGGCTGTTTGGCGCTGACGATGCTAGCACCAAACCATCTTATTTTGACTGTATGATAACGTACTCGCCCATCGTCCTAACTACTGATCAATGGGGTCATCAAAAATGATGCTAAGATGGCACATGTGCTTCACAATGGCGTGTGTTTACAAACCTTGCCGCTCTGTTTCAGCGCCTTACGGCATTTTCGCTCGCAACTGTGTGGCTATGGCCAAGGACGCCAAGAGCACTTTCCAGATAATCGACGAGAACGGGTGCCCGGTGGACCCCAACATCTTCCCCCGGTTCACGTCCAAGGTCTACTCCCTGGAGTCGATGTACGAGGCGTTCCGCTTCACCGAATCCTACGGCGTCATCTTCCAGTGCAACGTCAAATACTGCCTCGGAGAGTGCGAACCGGTGAGTGGGGTAGTTGATCACAAAAAGCTGCTTATCCAGGATTCCTTACGGTGACGTGTAAGTGGCATGCCTGACCAAATATGCCTTCTTGCTCCCTTGGCACAAAATACAACGCGATAGCTGCAGCGATCCTCTCGGCTGTGCTTCACTGACCCCCCGCCCACCCCCTCACCCCCCTCAGGCACAGTGTGACTACAATGGCAAGCAGTTCCCGTCGTGGGGCCGCCGCCGGCGCCGCGCGCTGAAGCCCACCATGTTGTCGGAGGATCCTCGCGACCCCGAGTCGATGACTCTCAGCCAGGAGATCATGGTGCTGGACTTTGGAGACGAGGAGGGCGTGGGTGTGCAGCGGCAGCAGCAGACCAGTCGGCCGGAGGTGCAGCTGCCGCCGTATGTCACTCAGGAGGCCACCTTCGGAGCCCCGGCCGCTGCCAGCGCCGCCGGTGAGTGGTGACCCCGTGAGGGGAGCGACTATTGACGTCGGACGTGGTGTGTAGAGGTGCTCTTTGCGCGTTTTCTGTCTGGCGTGATGCAGTTGACCGATGTGAATTAACGGCAGTAAACCAGCATTTCAAACAACAACAATGTCATTAGAGTTGTGTGGGCCACTTTTTAAGATGGAGCCAGATAAATGCGTGATACAGTTATCATACATTTACCGTATCATTTCTCTGTTACATGTAAGCCGTATTTTCATTGCAACTCCGTTTATTTGTTTTTACTTCAGGCATGGCATTGACGTTTGTTTCCAATTTCCAGACCACTTCAGCTTCACGAACGAGAGTGTCGAAATGCTGGAGAAGTGCCCCACGAAGACCTCCGTTCTGGCTCTCTCCGTCACCTGCGCTCTGCTGGTGCTCATCTACGTCTGCAGCATCTTCTACCTCTTCATGAAGCGGTGGATGACCCGCAACAACAAGGTCCTATAGAATGGAGACGGCGCCAGCCGATCGCCGGCCGGTCTGACTCGCCGTCTACCGATTCGAGAAGACGGCAGAAGAGCCGACCCGACTCGCCGCGGCCAGGGCAGTCCGAACGAGCCTGATCCCGACAAATAGTGGTGGGCTCTCGTGGCATTACAACTGTGCTTTTACGCAGTGATCGCATTTGTATGTACAGAGGACGCAAGGGGAGCATTTAGGTGCAAGTTATTGTTGATGTCCCGCGTCTCCGTTTTTTTTATAAGAATGATGCGATGGATGAGTGCCTTAGAGCTTTGACAGTAACTTGCATCTGGTGATTGTTAAGAAGCTTCCTTGGAGAGCGGTTCTTTTAGTGTTGTTTCTGAGACCTGAGACGATTTGTCGTCTGTAACTGAACAAAGGCATTCTTCTCACACGAGTCTGGGCGATATTTATTGTGGGCATAAGCAGTTGTTTTGAGAATACGTATCGGATGTAGACGTGTGTCTTTGCATCTTTGTGTAACATATGCCAGTGTCGATTGTTAATGAGTACCTAGTGTCGATATTTTGACCTTTTGTGATGTTCTTTATTCAACATGCACTAGTTTGAGATGCCTGTATCGGAAGGGGTTTGAAACAAACAAGGTTTTTGTTGAGATTGGTGTGTCATAAAACAGAAATCATCTATAGCGTGATCACATGTTCAGTAAATACTCTAGAAACGATATCTTGACGTTTTTTTTCAACAGACAGCCTTTTACAGATGTGTCGACTTTTGTCTATATTCTGCAGTGGCTGAGTTTCTTTGTGCTCGCCTTTCTAGTGCAAGTGTGATGTAAGGATATCACGAAACATGGTCAATAAATGATATTTATAATAAAACCAAATAGTTTGTGAATTATGTGAGTACAGCTGAAGGCACGGATTGCATGAAGATGATCAAGGGCACCAAACGAACATCGTCTCTGCATGAGCACCACCGTAAAAAAACGTATTTTATGGGAAATCCGAGACGGCCCTTTTGAAGAATTCATTAAGCTGCGTCTATCCATGTCCTTTATTTGTAATTTTCTTTAACCCGGCAGGCAGTGGGCCTCCCGGCTACATCCGCGCGGTGGGGGGGGGGGGCATTCCCCCCCCCGTATCTCCAAAACTACCGGACGGATACGGAAAATTCAAACGGCGTTCGATAGCCCTGTCAAATTTGTCGAGGGAAACCAAATTTCATTGACCTCGGGGTCTCCGATGACGTCAGAGGTCAGGTCAAAGATAAAATGTTTCACCGTTCACGTGTCTTCTAGGGAAAGCGCTATAACATCGAGTAAAACGCATTTTGTCGGAAATCAGCGATAGGGCGTCAGTTGTCTACTACATATGTTGCTAGTAGAGGTCACTGGTCATACCAGGTCAGGTCATAGGTCAGGTCACCAGGTGTCACCACATGAACCCAACTTTACTAAGGTTGTGCGATGCATGTTTTATGGCCAATTTTTCATTTCCAACTCGATGGTGCTGGTTATAAGACCATCAGGTACGGTTTAGGTCACTTCCTGGTTGAGGTCAGGTCAAGGTCAGGTCAAAAAAGGTCAAATTTCAAAGTTGTTAGTTTTGCATAAAATGGGTATTGATTCGATGTAGCTCGTCACGGGGAGTCTAATGGTGAGCTTTGTTTTGCGCCACGAGGTCTAGAATTGCTAAAAAATTGAGTTTGAAAATTTGACGTCATCAATTTTGAAGTTTTTTCGCTATAACTTTGGCAACAAAGAGGTATCAATCTCAAATTTGGTATGTAGATAGAAGGGGTGGGAACTATCACATAGATTTCGTTTTTTCCGAAATTCAATTTTTTTAATTTTTCGGCTATTTTATTCAAAAAAACTATTTTTTAATTTTTGGGGTCCAAAGCCAACAATTTCAAAAATCCGAGATTACAGTTTTGTAGCCCTCTTAATTCTACACCTTTTATGTCAACAACATTTTTCTGTATCTCTAAAGCTGTAGGCCTGACAGCTCTTCCCGCAAAACCTTTTTTGGGCCGAAAATAGCAGAAATGACGTCACTCTGATGTCATTAGCGGCCCACCTATCATAGCCTTTGGAAAAATGTTTGATCACAATGTGCAATAGCTATTCACGGGAGGGTACTGAAAGTTTGGTGACGATCGGCGAAGCGGTTCTGGAGATATATCGAAAAAAAAAACTAAAGGGGAGGGGGGCAAAAAATGCCCCCCCCCCCCACCGCCTGGAAGGTAAAAGCTTGATTTTTGGTGAATTTTTCAACAAATACCATTTTTGACGAAAAAACATGTAGTTACATCAATAAAATAGAGATATCTCAAAAAGTAAATTTGCATAAGAATTTGACAAAAGACGTCAAGAATTTGACAATTGATGAAGGAGAAGGTGAACGAAATTGCTCTCTAGCGCTGTCAATCTATATTTTTTAGACGAATGGCTGCAGATTATGTGGTTTTAGCATATGACGAGCAAAACTGCTATCTCAACTCCATTCGCCATGTTAGACATGAACATGTCCCTTTCACATAACACCAGCACCAATGCTGAACACGGGGTGAATAACAGTGTCCTGTTTAGACGAAACACGCGAGCTGGCCCTTCTGTACCTAACAAATAACTGGCATAGCGAACATCTCAGGTATCTCCTCCTATGCGGAAAAGGCTGCGGCTAGTGCACGGCGCTGGTTACGGGGCCGACAGCACATTGTGAGGCGGGGCCGGCAGTGACGGCGGTAGCGACGGACGGGGGTGGAGGCAGTGCGTCGGCAGCGCCGGCCGAGGGAGGGCGGCTTTCTCTGCGCTCTCTCCGACGAGTGTAGATCTTCTGGGCACCCTACTGATCAGCCACAATGGTAAGTCCAGCTGCTAATAGATATTGTGAGGGATTGATTCCAACGATGAGTTGTCGATATAACAGCGGCTATAAAGATAAAGCAGTTAAAAAGAAAATATTTGAAGCAATTATCATGTCATTATAGTTATGCTTTTGATTCACTTTAATTTTTCAATTATTGCATACGAGACTGCAACTTGCAAGGACCAACGAGTAACACGGATCGTATTGCGAATTTATAGGCACCGCAATGTGACTCTACATACTGTTAGGTACATGCAATTTGTCATGTTCGTATCCTTTTCGTATTTGTTTGCCCCTTTCTTTCTTTATTGTTTTTTTTTTTTTTTGAATGATTTTGTGCCTTTTCTGAACTTCTATGTGACTTCCTATTGACGTAACAGAAAGTTTTGGTTTTGTCATAACTGATCAAATCCACGAAATAGCGTTTGAACTTTTGCACATAGGGTTACTTTTAATTAAACGTACGCTTTTCAGCCACCACTCGTAAATTGTTTCCGTTTCTGGAAGCGAAACCTAAACCAATTAACAAGTATTTAGTAGCCGGAAAGCGCACGTTGAATGAATATGTCTAGTCGTAAAAGCTTAAATCATACATGATGTTCCTATTGTTTATTCTAAACCGAATACTATGTGGATGGATCGGCTTTCTATACAAAATCATGCAATAATGTTTTAAATTCATCATAGATGCTCCAAAAGAACGTCGTCAGTGCTTTCAGTGTGGAAACAAATTACAAACTGGAGTTTCAGGCACAAAACGAAAACTTGAGATGGTCACTGAAAGCAAACAAAAACGAAAGACACAAGATTTAAAAAAAAAAATTTAGCTCGAAGGTTTGAATGGACGGATTGACAGAGCCGGAGCCCACGCTAAGCAGAGCTTGTTGCGTAGAACCCGACCCCTACCATCCGATCACGCAATTCCGGGTAACGGGGGAATTTAGCCGACAGAGTTTAACGTGCCCTCCAAAGCCGGACACGGCCTGTCCCACTCAACTGGCTTCAACTGGCTGCGGCTGCTCCCACCAAACGCAGACCATCCCCGTCAGGAGTCTCAAATATCGAGCGCCGGAGCGTCTCGAACTAGGGCTCTCACTACCGGGTCCGGGAGTCCAATGCTCTACCAACTGAGCTACGGGACAGACAAGTGCGACACGATGCTTTAGAAGTTGGGAATGCTACAGATCAGAAAAACGTTAACGCCAAATGAGACAAAAATAGCATAATGACATTATATTATGGCTGAGGAACGTTCAACTCTCGAGATAAATGTGCTAAACGTGATATAAGCGTTATTCAACACATGTATCTCTCTTCCCCAGATAATGCTGAGGACTCGCGTGCTGCCACTGTTTGGCTTGGTGCCTCTGGTGGCCTGTTTCGCGGGACCTCCCTTCGAGCCTGTCTTCTTCGACGGCAGGCCACTTGATGGTGAGTTATCCGGTACGGATCACGCCATATCCACATTAATCATGCCTTAATCGTACCTAAATACGACCTACCTTGACTGTTTCAATGCTGAGCAGTGGGTTCTTCTCTGCTGACCCTGAAGCGGCCGATGCTTGGCTGCTGGGCTGCAACATCACGTGACAAAAACTCCACCCATATCCTTCCATCCTGTCAACACCACCTGCTCCTTCCTGTGCAGACTGGCCCACCGGTGCAGGTCGCGCGGCACGCGGCGCCTCACACACGCAGGTCGGTAGCGGAACACGTGACCTCTGACCCCCCGGCGACCCCGTCGGCGCGTCCTGTGACGCAGCCGTCCTGGGTATCGGTCAGATCCGGTGACCCGGTGACCTATCGAGCTCCTGCCGTGACCTCCGCACGAACGAACTGAAAACAGCTGGTTTTAATAGCCTTCAGAGGATATTAATCAGTTTTATGTTTCCTTGCTATACTTAATTATTTGTAGTGAATGTGTAGGATACAGAATCTAGATCAAGCAGAGTTTTTGGGTCAATTCATGGTCTATATATATGGGCTAAGACCGAAATATTTTTGAGCGGTGAGGATGTGGTCAATGGCTGCTGTTACCAAGCAACTGAGCCTGTTGAGCAAAGCAAGATGATTCGAGGCACTATCTGCAAACCGATAAATCTCAAGGTAATGCACCTCAGATAGACCATCGTCAGCGGCTAAATCATACTCACGCAATTCGCAATTCACAAGGTTGAAAGGCTGTGATTATGGTTGTCATGAATCCGAGGGTTGTCAGGATCTAACCCTGAATTAACTGCAGTGAAATGAATCGCAGGCTGAATTTCTCACGCCGAAATCTACATACATTTCCTGACATAACGGGACATCTTTTGACTTGCAGCCGATCGTTCTTGCCCGAATTGCGATTCACAAGGTTGAAAGGCTGTGATTATGTACCTAGTCTCCAAGTGTTCATTAAATTGCGCATGTTATTATTCATATGATTACCCGTGGCGGGAATTGAGAGGTAGCTTCGACGTCTTTTCAAGCCAACCTTATTGAGCTACCGTTTATTCGACGCAAGATGTTAAATCATAAGAAGGCAATGAAAGGTTGGTAACGATAGGTCCAGTGATTCAGAAGATATTGCAGAAAAAAAAAACAGAAAGAGCTTTGTAAATGACTTCCCAGTCAAACACGAACCACGATTTGGTCAACACAAAAATATCCCACTGTAAAGTGCGGCGAGGTAATAGGCATGTTCCTGTAATCGAAGTGCCATTATCGAAGTGTTCATAATGGCTGTTTTTTATTGGTGATCTTTTTAGTCTCTTAACTTAAACCGGTCAGGGCCTGCGTGCCAACATTTGCGCAATATCATTTCCTCCTAAATGTGGGCCAGATATCGTCAAGACAAAGAGGATCAAAACAATCAGAGACCTACAAAACAATCAAAGAAGTAATGCCGCAAAGAAGCGGTTCGACCTTGAGTTTCAAGGCTGAACTGTACCTCAAGAATCTCTTATCTGACCCACCACCACGGTGGCTTGTGGTCGCGACTTTCACAACAATGGCTGGGCCGGCAGAAGCGCCACACAGATCGCATCATTGTTGCAGCTCTACAGGCGAAACGGTGCTGGTCTGTCGCCGCTTTGGACAACAGCTCTAAGGGCACTGGTTTCTCCCAGTCAGGGAAACCTAGAAAATATCCCCTTTTATGAGCGGACGCTGTGGAATGCGCGCATTTGCGAAGTTGAGAAGACACCTCCAACCGGAGAAATGGTACTAAGAAGAAGCTTATGTGTGTCTATAGATATTATACCTATACGGAATACGGATTGCATAGACACCTGCTATGTGACTGAGTGACTCACTGACCGAGATATCTCTGCAGTAGCGGGAGAGGCACATAGTGCCAAGCCCTGCACCAGTCCTGACGGGGCGCGCGGATGCCTGGGAGGGTGTGTCACCGGTCCACCTCCTGTTCACAAGCAGAGCACGAGTTTCCAGGGCCTGTTCCTTCCCGTTCCGCGTGTACGCCAGCGAGAAAATCTGCCCGACTGTTCGCGATCGACTGCAAAATCATGACAGCACTGCGCGGGATATTTCTTAGATCAAATCTGACACACTTTTACCAATCGGAAGACGCAAAATCGTGAGAGCGTGGGATTTTATTTCCCAAGTTCGGTGCGTGAGGCTCGAGTCACTTGTAGAAACTGGGAACCAGGAAACAAGTTAACGGATCGCCTTCTGTTGTTCACATACTCGTATAATGCCGATGCGCAGCCGTGGGGGGGGGGGGACAGGTCACGTACAACGTTATCAATCAATGCGAGCGACTTTAGCGAGTTTCATAGTTGAGCGAACGTCATTTGAGAGAACCATTTTCAGCGACTGGCAGCTTAGCGAATATCAAATTAAGCGATTATCAAATATAGCGATTACCAATGAAAGCTATGTTTCAGCGACATCTTTTCTCAAAAATTCCAGCGGTTCGATTTCAGCCCCCCCTGCTGTTTGCCAAAAATGATGACCAAACGTATGTTCAGAGATTCATATTGCTTGTGCTGTTTTTCGCGAAATTCCCCCACTTGAATTTGGATCAGTTCCCCATGTTGTACAATTTGTTCTTGCCCCAAGCAACGTACGAATTTCCAGATATTTGGGTGAGGTCCCTGAAACATAGACTAGATCCCCCTGTGCCGTCTCTCGAGTTTATTATTGGTCCTTGGCATTCCTTACATCGTCCTATCACGTTCCACATTTCCAGATCAAGGTGGATCAAGGTTGCAGAATGAGGCCAGATATTTTTGTGGTTTCCATTCTTAAAAGCAAATTTTTAATTTGCCGCGCGCAGCTTGAAGCATGACACATACCAAGCGGGTATTCCAAGGGCAAGAATTTCCGAAAAGTAGCAAATGATTGACTTCCGTCGCGTTCGGTTTCGCTGTAACTGTGTTCGCTCAATTGGTCCCCCATTGACCTCCACATATTCGCTCAATCTGGTTTCGCTGATTCTGGTCATCGCTTGAGTTGATAATCGCTGTGATTGAATTCGCCGACTTGACAATCGCTGAAAGAGTCAATCGCTTAAATTGATAATCGCTGGAAAGGCTTCGCTCAAGTGTCGTTCGCTGAAATGACGCTCGCTCAGGTGTCGCAGAACCGTTATCAATGCTGAATGCAGTGTGGTAGCCGGTAGGATTGGATATCACATTACCTGTTGGAACTACATTGATGAATGGCTACAGGATATAAAAGAAAGAAGAAATTTAATTCATTTGTCGTCAATGGTCAATGGTCAATGGTCAACAATAGCATTTTATTATCAAATCAGCCAATGCAATGATCAACCATTAGCAGTAATGCAACTTTAGATATGAGGGAATGATGAACATGTTTATCAGGGTGATAGCCACCATGATAGATAATAACCGTTCTTGATGGTCTTGTCACTTTTTACAGCTCACAGTGATATGAGTCACGCATCTTGGTATCTCCCTCCGCATTTGAACACCGATACAATGCAGCTGTGGCTGCTTGAATCGGTTTTGTGCTGGTTGGTTGCAACGAGAAATCTAACCAAAAAAGTGTTGATTGGTATATTTTCCTACATTCAGCGCTTGTTAGCCTTCGTGATTTAGAGGGGAAATGTAACTCTTTGGCTTTGCTGTATCCATTTACGTCGTAGCTCAGACCAGATTATATGTTCTGAGAAACAGCCCAAGTTGTTCCTGAAAACGCGCTGATAGCAGAGCTCGACAATATCGCAATACTACAGTGGCGGAAACAGCAAGGAAAACTGAAAAACGGCACGCGAACTCCGCTGCATAGGTCAACTTCAAAATGTATTTTCGCTATATATAAAACTGTATTACTTTGGAATTCGTATGCTTGCCAATAAAGTGTCATGAATGGCTGTTTGCCATAACGCTTCTGTTGTTTATTATTCCAGCAATTTGCTAAAATGAATAAAAATTCCTATGCTTTCAGTAAATAAATATCTCCTTAGACAATGGGGTGGCTTATTTTTAAATTGAAACGGCTTCAAACATATCGTTTTTGTATTTTATTAGCCTATGCTTACCTCCTGGCTTACACAGCCCCTGGCGCCTGTCAACCCCATGTCGACCCCTCACGACAGAGTCGGAGCCCATGAGGCGTGCTCGACGGCCGTTTGCGCGACAATGCTAACCGAACCGACACGGTTTCGCCTTCCTAGCCGACCTGGCCGGCTTTTTCAACGCGCCCCATTGCTCGTAGTGTTTGTTGTGGTGGGCAGAGCCGCTTTCGCTTTTCAAGCGGAAGGCTTTCCCATGATACAGTTGCCTGGCAGAGAGGAAAGGGAGAGTGCGCCCCGGGCGGGAACGGCCGTGTCAGTAACGAGGTGTTGGGTTCCGTGATTTGATCTTCACATGCCAGAGGCGGGAAACGCGAGCAAGATCCCGCCGCGGCCAACTTCCCGCTCGCGCTGGGCCTGGCCTACGGGTTGAAGTTCGTTTTTATTGAATTGATGGATGAAGTGTGAAGCAAATGAACACAAGCGTAGCATGATAATCACCAGTACTTTCTTCTTTCTTCGTTGTATAAAGGAGAAGAGTCCGGATGACTGGCATCAAACAAACGGGGTGAAACAGCCACAAACAAATTACAATTGTCATTGTTCGCGCTTACTTGGTGAGAGCTGAGAACTCAAATTCAACGAGACCATCATGCTTTATTGGAGACACCCGAACGTAAACTTCCTTATAAACATAAGACCCACCCGAATTATATCATGGCTCGTATTCCTGCGGAGAAAACGCGTGGGAAAAGCGCCTTAATCACCGCGGGCTTTCTAAGGGCGAGCCTTGCTGGCCTCTCGGCACCCAGCATTACGTCTCTCGTCAACTTTCGCGCGCTAGCGACGTGGCTGATGAGTGCCTGCGTGGCGCCGTGGCGCGCGGAGTGCCGAGCAGTGGCCGCCCCAGGTCAGGAAAGTGGGCCTCGGGTGGTCGCTGCGACCCGGC